TATCAATTTGTATTCTTCAATAGTTGTTCTCCCAGATCAACAACAATTAAAGTTGTTCTGCCTGTTTTCTTTCCTATTTAAAAAGTTTAAATCATACAATGTAAAATTCTGGTAAAATCATTATTTTAGATGGATGACTGTTTTTAATCCATATACTTGCAAATCAAAAATCTTATAAACATATGTATTTTCTTAAAACATTTTAAGAATGATCACCAAATACAGAAAGAACAAAAAATGAGTGGAACAAATATATATAAAAAATTTTTAATATATTTTCAAAGTTATCTTTACTTTATAAAAAATGCAAAAAGATTTTTTTTTGAGAAAAGTGGGACATGGCCCCCAGTGCCCTGGCCTTATGGACCCTCTGGTCATCTGCCCTGGAAACAATTTTAACACACGTTCATCAGGACTACAAAAATGCTGAATGTTTCAGAGCTCCAGTTTGTCTGGAAAGTAGTGAAAAATCTATCACGATTCTGCTACAAAAAAGTGAGCCTATGGTCCAGTCCCCTCCCCTGTGCCTTTGGCCCTCAAAACAACTTGAAAAAGATGCACATTCATCAGCACTACAAAAATGCCAAAGGTTTCAGAGCTCCAAAAAGGTAGTCAAAAATCAATTGCAATACTCCGCTACAAAAAAGTGGGGACTCTGCCCCATTATCCCTATATGGAAATCCATATACTTCAGATCAAAGTTTTTACATTTTTTGAAAGATCAATGAATATATAGAAAATATATATGTAAATATAAAAAATATATGTGTAATATATATTTTTTGATATCATTTACCTCATGGATTTTTTGAGCATCAAAATCAGGTATTAAAAAAAATGCTGAAATTTATTTAAATTGATAAATACAGGTACTTAAAAATAATTTTTTACATTTCTGATTATTTCATTGGATTTGACTTAAATTATCCAGTTACAAATTTTTAAATAAAAAAATCAAATAATTTTATAGTTATATAACTTGAAATCTATAAAAAAAAATGTTGCAATTCTGAGGAGACGAGGGGCCTGGCCAACATCTGTTAAAATTAAAATGTTCATGTTTCAGAATCTTCTTGGAGCCAGAGGCTAAAATTTTCAAGGAATTCTTATTATACTAAGTACTCTCAACTGCATAAAAATCAGCAAAGCTTGGTCATTTGACATGGAATTACCCATTACACAAGATAACTGGATAAAAATATATATATTATCAATATCAAACATTAAATCTTATTTATTTATTTATTTATTTTTATTTATTTTCATAAATACTAAAAAATATAACATAAAATCTAGTAAAATAAAATAAAAAAACATAAAAAGTAAAATAAAATATAACATAAAACCTGCACTAGCAGTAGTAGTAAAACAACATTTTTTTTTTTAAGAAAAAAAAATTAATGCACGTTTTATATATGTCCTCATTTAGATATACTTTATATTTTAAGTTTTATGAAATGGCTTATGATTACAGGTTGCAAATTAATTTTTATTTTATTTTTTGTTTATTGAGCCTTTTTCAGGGTGTTTGTGGAAATTCGCTTTACATCGGTAGAAACCGGGTAACAAAACCAGGTTATATAAACTTATCAAACTATTGACGTTTTATTTTTTAGCTGTTCTTGAGCACGCTTCGTTGAGTTTCGGTAACTTTTAACCAAAAAGCGATTGTTATTATTTAAGTAATTTTTTTTTAGTTACTTTTTACAAAAATTTTAATGACTGTACTTTTTTATTGAATCAAGTAGAATACGTTTTAATATTAATCCTTTTATTTTTTTTTATTTGCGCTTACCAATTTTTAAAATGTTTCCTTGAAATTACTCTTAAATACTTCAAATACGTCTAACAGTTAACAAATATTTTTAAATCTATGGAATAATTTTAAAACCTAACAAACCCCCGTAAAATAATTATTTAAGTTAAAAATCTAAAACTAAATGAAAGTATTTTTGTTCAATTTTATCGACAACTTTGCTATTGCTGAATAATTTTATTAAAATGTTAGCTTAAAAAGATTTAAACTTTTTTTTTAATCTGAATTTTTTCTACTTGTAAATAATGATCATATTTAATTTTTTTGTAATTCAAACTTTTATATCAACTGCGTGCGGTTTTTAAAATACTTTATTAAATGTTAAAATAATCATAAATTACTTCATTAAAAATCCGCTCAAAAATATCTTTAAATATACTCAAACAAAAATTTTTTGCTCGATGCAAATAGCCCTACACGCAAAATCGCTCTTGGACGACATAAAATTCACATCGCCCAACGCTTTATTGCAAGGCCTGATATATATATTCATATATACTCTTCAGGCTTGAACAGGAATGGTGGGCGATTGCACGCTCTAACTGACTACACCTAAAGTTTTTTTTCTTTACAATTTGACGACGGCTGTTTTAACATTTTAAAAATTATTAATCTTTTCTAATGTTTTTCTTTCACGCAAAGCTAAATAAAATAAAATAATAGTTATGATGGTTGTTCAAAATAATCGCATTTTGTGTAAATTAACAAAAAATGTTATGTTTAAGTTTTTTTAATGTATTTTTTATGATAAATTTAAATGTTTGAAACTATTTTTTGTATAACTTTCTTAAAATCCCTTTTTTAATTATTTTTTAAAGTTACTTTAAATTATGAATAGTTTAAATTAATTCTTCCCATTGTAATGGAATGATTTAATTGTTTTATTATTATTTTTTTCGTTTCTATTTTTACAAAGAATTGTTTAAAACCATTTTTTTTTAAACTTAACTCACTAATCAGTGTATGAAATGATTAAAAATTACTATATTAAAAAGACTACATTTTTTTAAACAAATTTTTTTTTTGTGCAATTTTTTGAGTTGCAATAAAATAGTTGTGGTCAAGTTGTCAAAAAAAATCATTTGCGTGGTCAGTAACAGCACTTGATCGCACGCCATTACTGTCCAAGACTGTTATTTAAGTCATTAGGAAAGTTTGTAAAACTCTCCTATAAAAAAAAAGATTTTTTTAAATTTTATTCTATTAAATGTCATCATTATCTATACAAATATGCATTCTTTCAAGAAATTTGTTGAACATTTTTTTATACTCTTCTTTGGGTATACTTTGAAGTAGTCATGATGACTATAATGATCTCTCGAGAGCGTCAAATAATTAAAAATAATGTTTGCTGACGACAGTAACTTTTATCTAAGGAAAAGATATGCCTCAATTATTCGTACAAATAAATGATGAGTTAGGAAATATTTCAATATGGTTTTTTTTACAAAGCAAACAAACTTTCTATTATTTCTAAAAAAGCAAAGTTCTTAGTGTTCCCTCTATTATAAAAAACTAAAAGATTTTCAATATCTTTTCCAAAACTATTTATTAAAAACACAGAGGTTAGTCGCGAAATAGTAACTAAATTTCTCACAGACAAGAATTTTATTGATGTCATTATCGTCATCAACATTTTTCTTATCAAGTTGAATAATTGAATGGAGCTAAGTCTGGTGACTATGGCAGACGGCAAATTATTGTGGTTCCAGTTTGGTTGAGACAATTTGTGATGGTTTGAGTTACATAGGGTCAAGCATTATCATGGAGAAGTTTAAAATTATAAATAGGTAGAACGCCTTCTTCAAAATAGCAATTGAACAACATTTGCTTTTTTGAAGAAGGTGTAGAGCATGTTTTTTTGGCTCAAATCTGTTGCATTTTACAATAGTTCGTAATTGTAATACTCTAGATTTGTTAAAAAATTCTTAAGATGAGTGATAGTGATATAAAAAAAATTGTATTCAGCGACGAATCGAATTATACAGTTGTTAATCAAAAAAATAGAGTAATTGTGAGAAGACGCCATAATGAGAAGTTTCATAATCGTTTCATTGTGCCTTGGTTACAGGGCGGAGGAGGTTCAGTTGGAACTGGGGTTGTATCACGTATGATAGACCCAGGCTATGCTACTTGTACACTGGTAGAATGGACCAATACAGATACATCGAGATGCTTGAAAATCATTTGATTCCAACAAGAGACTTATTTTTTGGAGATGAGCTGTATGGAAGTTTCAGCAAGATAATGCCCCTTGTCACAAAGCAAAAACAGTAACAGCTTGGTTTAAAGAAAATAAAATCAATTTACTCCAGTGGCCAGCTAGATTGCCAGATTTAAATCCAATCGAAAATGTATGGTCTGTGCTTGATCGAAATATGACCAAAGCTCCTGTAACTTCAGCTGAAGAACTACAAAAAGGTTTAAAAGAGTTATTTGATGGCTTGTCCTTTGAATATGGTCGAAATCTTTTTTGAATCTATTAAAAGAAGATGTAGACTTTGCATAGCTAATAAAGGCATACCTTATTAACTTGACTTACAGTTTAAAGTGAAAAATCTTGAGTCTAAACTTATGAACAAGATTTTTGTAGATATCTTTTTACATTATTTTGCTATTTTAAAAATAAAATACTTTAAACTTGTTTTCTTTTCATGTCTTTTATATATATTAAAGAGAATTTCATAAATAATAAACTGGATTAAAAATAAAATTTAAAAAAAAAAAAAAGGCATCTTTATAAATCACAAATCACTAAGAAACTATAAGTTTTATTCTGAGTCTAAATTTTTGATCACTAGTGTATGTATTTACTTAGTGTATGTAGTGTATCTTGTAGGTTCTGTATATTTGTCAGTTGATGTAAAAAATAAAAACATTCCGAATGTTTTTGTTTTTTACTTTTGTGGTTTTTGTAAAAAAGTTAAAATTTATTAGTTTTCTCAATTAAATTTAATGTTTTTTACATAAGGTTTATTTGATTTTGTCATCTTTAAATACAAAGAGTTGTTTAGAATCTTTTTATTTTTTGCCAGAAATGGTTATCGTAAAGTCTTTACTATAGGAATATATAAATTGACAATTTTTGCATTTTTGTTATTCGCAATTCCTTTGTTTTTGAATGTAAACTTTAGTAATAATATTAGTTACATAATTAGTATTAATTTTTTATACCTTTCTTTAGATTATCTCAACCATTGATTTGTAATTGCACATCTGGCAATGTAAATCCATCATATTTTGTGAACATGGATAAAACATGTAGTGAAGCTTTGTATGAGTATCCATTTAACAGTATTGTTCGAAGACCTAACTTTGCTTTTGCTGCATCAAAGTATGACTTTCTTTAATATTTTTTACTGGAGCCTGCTCTTTTCTTTATATATATATATATATATATATATATATATATATATATATATATATATATATATATATATATATATATATATATATATATATATATATATATATATATATATATATATATATATATATATATATATATATATATATATATATATATATATATATATATATATATATATATATATATATATATATATATATATATATATTGAAACCCTCTCAGGTGCATTACTCTAAAAAGCAAGGCTTAGAGTAATGCTTTGGTTTTAGTTTACAAGGACATATTTAGTTCATAATTAGTATTATTTGTTATATAACTAAAATAAATCTTTGTATTGGATTATATAAAATAGTTCCATACAAGTTTAAAAAAAAACACTATTTATATTGACAAAACAGTTGAAGTTTTTGAATATGATTAATTTAAATTTAAAATGAATTAGTTTAAATTTAAAATGAATTGTTAGATGGTAAAAAAAATGTTAAAAGCCAGTTGGAAAACAATTAAAACCAGTAACAAAATTTTTAAATTTTGTTACTGGTTTAAATTATTTTCCAACTGGTATAAATTTTCAAATTGCTTGGAACAAATGCAGATGTGTTAAGATTTTTAAACACAATGGATATGCAATCAGATATCTTATATTCTTTCTATTATCTTATATTATTTCTTATTTATTGTCGATTTATTTAATGTTTATTTTATGTTTCTGTAGTATTATTTTGAAGTGAAGTGTTCTTAGATGATAAAATTTAATTAATTTGGTGAATTCTTAAAAGCTTCTCAAGTTTATATAATTACATGAATAGTTGCTTACATAATATTTTACTGTTTTTCATGAAAAAATGTTGATTTTTCTCATGTTACAATTTAATGGAAAAGTTCTTTTAAGTTTATTCTCTTCATTTTTTTCTTTATTTTTATTTTTTATCAGTAATAGAGCCACACACAAAAAATTCAAATTCAACGTAAAACTAATTGAAAATTTATAAATATTTAAATAAATTTTATCTTATGAATATTTTACTATATTACTGCTTTAGCTGATTTTTCTACATTTACTGACTTTTTTTTTTTTCATTTTTAAATTTTTTTCATATTAAATTTCATTTACTGATTATTTGTTATGCTTAATTAAAAAAATAGTTTAAACTTCACAAAACAATATTTTAATCACTAAAAATTGTCATATATTAACTTAATTAAAAAAATTGTCTAAATATTATCTTGCAGTATTTCAAATTTTTCAAGTACAAATGATTTAAAAATCAGTGTCAGAAAAGCATCAAATCATCATCAAATAACAAATTATTGAACCTGCTAAATCAAAAAAAAAAAAAAAAAAAAAAAAAAAAAAAAAAAAAAAAAAAAAAAAAAAACAGACTTAAAATAGACATGCTTGTCAGTATTTCTGAATTTTGTGTGTGAATTTCTAAAAGCTGATAGGTGGCATTGTTGACATGCCTGATTCTGGAAGACCATTAAAAGCTTAGTGACTGACTAAAGTAGAATATTCAGAACCAACAGAACATTTCCAAAGTTCAGCAACTAAATGTTTGCATAAATATTCAACCAATTCTTTTCTAGTTGAAAAGTAAGCAGAGAACTTGTTAGAAGAATTTTAACAACAAAAGAAATGTTGGGTCTTACCTTGCAGTAAGAAAATCTGTCCTGTCAATCAAGGATGAGTGCAAAAGATGAAAAATGATTCAGGGCTATGAGTTACATTTTGATGTCATTAACTACAAAGAAAGAGTCTCCATTAAAAGGATTGTGACTGAGAAATATTGCAAATGCTTTAAAAGCAAGACAACTGATCAGTGAAGTCTCATTAAGCATATGGAAATGTTTTCTCCATAAATACATGTAGTATGTGTAAGCTGTATCATTATATCTACTATACTAAAATCATGTTTTATCATTGAAAACAAAAAATATTTGATGATAATGCTACTGATACTCATTAAAGTTAAGGTATTTTCAAGCAATTGCTGCTAGTCATTATTTCAAGCAATTAAAATATTTACATATTCCATAATGTCTGGGGTAATAAAAGGTTCCATACCTTTGGTCCTGTTGTTTCTCATCTCTCTATTTGCTGATGACACAACTATATACTCCAGTCTTGACAAAAATCCATCCTCTTGATTACTTAGAACAGGTAGTCAATACTGAATATGGTTTCACTGTAACAGTTTGGGGTTTGCAGAGGGTGGTAAATTTTAAAACCTAACAGTGGGTGGTAAACTTTAACCCAAATAAAACTCAGTCAATTGCTGCTAATAGTTGTTACAATATTACAATGTTGTTGATATTCTTCTATTGATGATTGGCTTTTACTTAGTCTTCTCTGTCTTCTTGGATTATTTAAAACTGACCTCTCAGGAAAATTACATATACGATCCATTGAAAAGTTAGCATCTGGTAACGATTACTTCTCTTTATCGTTTCAGCCATATTCTTGCTTCTGATTCTGTTCTCTATCTTATCTATTATTCTATTCTCTTTACAATATTCTATTCATGATTCTCATCAAATCATTTATTTGTTCATCAAATCATCATCATCAAATCATTTATTTCATCATCATCAAATCATCATCATTTATTTCATCATCATCAAATCATCATTTATTTCATCATCATCAAATCATTTATTTCATCATCATCAAATCATCATCATCAAATCATTTGTTTGTTTTTGTATGAAACACTGTTGTCATATATGTGCTGGTTTCTCTAATGAGGCCCTCTCTCTATTAGACAAGATCCAAAAATGCATTGTAAATGATGTTGGACCTGCTCTGCTAAGCTTGAGTCTCTGTCCCATTACTGTAAGGTCTTTAAATTTCCTACAAATACTACCACAAGCTTTGGTCAAGTCTCTTTTTTGTTTTCTTTGAAATTCCAACTTGTTGTTGAAACCTTGATGAATGAATTTGATGAGTGAATTTGTTTAAAAAAGAAAAATGTTATTTAATCTTTTTTTTTATTAGATTTATTAATTGTTATTGGCAAGTTATAAGTCATTATATTCCTGCTATTATATAAAAACTTTGGCAAATAAAACTCGTCGAATGGTCACACATGAGCAGTGGACGCTTGAGTAAAGAAATAAAGTACACTAGAATTAAGTGGAATTATTTTTTGAACAAAGCATATTTTGACAGTTGTCAAGACAAAAATAATGATTAACAGAGGAATATTTACAAATAAATAAGACAGACAATACACCTAAAACAGAACTTAACAATAATAATAAAAAATAAATTATTTTATAAACACTAATATGAATGAAGATATACAACAAAAATATCACCAAACAAAAACTTATGAATGAAGATATACAACAAAAATATCACCAAACAAAAACTTATAAAACAAAAAATTGATTACAACAACGACAAAAGTCATCGCCAGTTTTGCTTTACCCCGCGACTTACGCCTATTCCATACTGCAGTAAAAGACTCAATACAAATAGCCAAAACCCAACCAACCTCAAAATTGTAAAGCACCAATATTTTTTTGATGATATGATACTAAAAGCAAAAGGTTATTTAATCTTTTTTTTTTTAATTAGATTTATGAATCGTTATTGGCAAGTTATAAGTCATTACATTCCTGCTATTATCGCAGATGGTTTATCTATTCTTGTGGGAAGTAAACCAAGGTTGTTTTTTTTTGTGTGTGTGTTCAAAAGTTAATTTTATATATTTAATTCATGTGCATTTTTATAATCTGAAATGCCTATAGTTATATATATATATATATATATATATATATATATATATATATATATATATATATATATATATATATATATATATATATATATATATGTAGATACATATACATACATACATATATATATATACATACATACATACATACATACATAAAAGAACCGGTAATGTTAAAAGGAACTAGATTGAAATTGTCATTTTTACATGATTCATTTGTTGATTAATAGTGGGTTTTTCCCACTCTGTGTACATGCTTTCGTTGAGTTTTAATATAAATTTTTATAAACGGTATGTAGATGAAATTTTTGCTGCTTTCACTTCCAAAAATTGCACCGATTTATTTTTGGAGTATATCAATAATAAACATAGTTCTATTACTTTTAAAATGGAAAAAGAAATTCGATCAAAAATATTTATATACTATTACACAATTACTACTATTTTTCATAAGAAAACCTTTTCAGGATTCTACACAAACTTTTTTAGTTTTACTTCATTTCCATACAAAGTTAGTTTGGTTAAATGCTTAATTGATAAAACTTGTAAAATAAACAACACTAGTCTCGGTATTAGTCATGATATTAACGATCTTTTGATCAGCTATGATATAGTCAAAACATGTATTTACAAAATAAATGATTTTAACAAAAATTAAAAAGTTTGTCTTATTTATTAGAATATTTACACAATTTGTGCTGAAGAGAAACTTTCGATATATATTTATATACATATATGTTTATATATATATATATATATATATATATATATATATATATATATATATATATATATATATATATATATATATATATATATATATATATATACATATATATATTTATTTATATACATATATATATTTATATATATACATATATATATATTTATATATATACATATATATATATTTATATATATAAATATATATATATATACATATATATATTTATATATATACATATATATATATTTATATATATACATATATATATTTATTTATATACATATATATATTTATATATATACATATATATATTTATATATATACATATATATATTTATATATATACATATATATATTTATATATATACATATATATATTTATATATATACATATATATATTTATATATATACATATATATATGTATATATCAGGCTTGGTCGGGAAGCGGGAGCGATCGCTCTCGAATACTGACCACGGAAATTATATTTAGTTGCGTAAAACTGGCCAGGTTTTTTAGTCGTTTTAAGAACATTTAAGTTTATGTACGAAACAAAGAATTTTTGTTTTACGGACATACATGGAAACATAATAAACTAGAATGTTCTCAAATTATCTTCGTGCGAAAGAATAAAAAGAAAAGTTGCGAACACTAAAAACCCGCCAAATTAACAAACAAACTAATTCTATTGGTTCAAAAAATACGCTGCTTAAGCGAAATAAAGTTCTTGAGTATTCTGTTAAAATGTTTCAGAAATTGTATTATTCACGTTTTGAGATTTCTAGTATTATTTTAAGAATATATATTATTTGTTTATGAAAGTAAATGTTTTAAATATATATTAATTAAATTGTTAAAATTTTAAAAGTTTATTATAAATCATAGATTTTATTAGTATATTCTTATTTTTTATTTTAAAAGAGATTGTATTCTTTATGTAAACGTAATTGTGTGTATTTGTTTTTTATCGTAATGTATCTTTTAAAGCAATTTTTATGATTTAAACAAAGACTTGCAAAAATAATTGTGTTTTCAATGAAGTTATAATCGTTAAAGTTAATAAAACTAATTATGTAACAAACATATAAGAAGTTTCTGGTTACTTAACACAAACAACGCATACAAAGTAACTCGCGGATGAACAAGCATCGCGCATCGCGAAAAGTTTCTAGATATTGGTTTACTAACTCTAATTATATTTGCTTAAGTTGCCATTCTTAAAACTCGTTATACTTTTTTCTGCTTTAAATACTAATTAAAATTAAAAACCCACTCACTAAACATCATCAGCGATATTGTAAAGCAGTTTCGCTTCCTGGTCATTACGTATTTTTAATCTTTTTAGTTGATTTCTATCTTGATAATTTAATTCCTATAGTAATTCAATGATTTAGTTATTTCATTTGTTTATCTTACTAAGAAGAATTGCTTCAAATATGTTAAACTTTTCAAACTACGCGAAACATAAAATAGGTATTAAAAAAATTAACTTTTTTATTTATAAAATAAATTAAGCTTAAGTAAAACTAAAACTTGCAAAAAGTTAAATAAAGAATATTTGTTTCCCTTTTAAACAATCGTAAGTTGTTACTTTATATAAAAAACATCGCTTAATTTTATAAAAAAAATTTATAAAAAAGCGATGTTTCGTAAATATTTGTTCTAAATGTAATTTATTTAGCTTAAAGTTTTTTCGCGTTTAAAGATATTTTATTTGCCTACTTTTTTTTTTTTTGTAATTGTCTCTCATCGGTCCAATTAATCTTTGTCGCTTTTTTTTTTTTTGTTTTTTAAAATGTTCTCAAAACGACTAAAAAATCTGGCCAGCTTTTCGCAACTAAATATTATTTACGTGGTCAGCAATCGAGAGCGATCGCTCCCGCTTCCCGACCAAGCCTGATATATAAATATTTATATATATATATATATATATATATATATATATATATATATATATATATATATATATATATATATATATATATATATATATATATATATATATATATATATATATATATATGTATATATGTATATATGTATATATGTATATATGTATATATATATATATATATATATATATATATATATATATATATATATATATATATATATATATATATAATATATATATATATATATATATATATATTAAGGTGCTCCAAAAAAAAATTAAAGTTTCAATAGTTATGCTTCCTGAATACAACTTTTCAAACAAGTTTTTTTATTTTTATACTTTAGTTTAGCCTTGCCACCAAGCCAATGAAAAGTACAAAAATAACTAAAATTTTATGGTTTTCCAATTACAAATATTATATAATAACAGTTCCGGAATTATTTTCTTGAGTGTTTTTGTAAAATTAAAATATTTACTCATATTACAAACAACAAAAAATATGCACTGCACCAATAAGTTAAAAAAATATGGGCACTTCTTTTTGAATACTAGGGGCATCGTCTGTAGAAAAGCGCAAATTTTTTTATTTTTATTTATTCTATTTCTTCAGTGAGATACCACAGATATATGTTAAGTGCTGTCATAGCTGCTTGTGCCATGGCTGGATTAAAACTTTTATACCAAATGAGATCATTCCACAACTGTAGATCATTCACTGATGCTTCTGCAGCCAAACATGCTGAAATCCATGCCTTTACGTAGAAAAGGGCATTGAACAAGCAAATGTGATGCAACTTGTCCATTTTATCTTGATCATATTTTAGCTGCTCATTGAATGCATATATCTTTGTACTGTATAGGATGGTCACTATCCATCAGACCTGACTAAATGTTCCAGGCTGTAACCAGTGTACACCAGGAGATAATTCTTTTCCTTCTTACGAAGTGTGGCGTACTTCGCTGCAGTAAATGAGGCTTTTTGTATGAAGAACCATTTCTGTTTGAATTTCTTACCTGCTCTTCTGGTACTTTACTTTGACAGTGTCACACTTTTCAACTCAACGCCACCCTCTGATATAACTGCAACCATCAATGCTGTTCACTGACCAGCTGACAAATTCAACCTATTGACCATTGTAGATATTTTTATACTCTTTAATGGGTTTTTTGAAAGTGTTACTATTGACTTACTTCTATGCCACACTTGTCAAACTCTTCTCTTTTACATGACATTCAAACTCCTTGTCCACTGGTATATCAGCAGAATTTCTATCAGTACTTTCATTTTCTGAATGTTGACCTGAGGATTCACCAATCATTGAAAACAGGTTTTGTTTGCTTTGCTTTTGATTTATTTTTTTCTTTAAGAAGACCTTAGTTCTCTTCATTTTATGTTCTAATTTTCTTGGTAGATCTGCCATGCGGTATGTGGTGTAGTGGTAGAGCACTCGCTTCATAAACAAGTGGTTCTGAGTTTGATCCCCACCACGTCCATGGTAGTACTGCGCTCAACTCGTTTCTCCGCGCAGCGGCCTTGTTCGTCAAGATTTGTGTTTCGGAGTTATAGAGTTGAGAGAGGGTTATAACCACAAATAAGTAGCCTCCTCGTCTGTAGTGGCCTTCTCGGCCTTGAGGAGGTGAAAAAAAAAAAGATCTTATGTATTGTTCTATAGTTATCATACAGATCAAGAATCTTTGCTTTTGCCTTTATGTTGTTTTTCAATGCTAGTTTGAGCCCACTGCTGCTGAACTTCAATAACAATTTTGTCAGCCACAGCACCATTACAGCTGCTATGGTTCTCATTCTTTATTAGTATATCTTTCAAATAAAAAAACAAGTAAATAAAATCTTCTTTTGTGGGAACTTTGCAAACTGGTAATTCCAATATGGGCTTTCCTATCAGCCAGATATCCTTCTTTAGAGTCATGACACACTGATTCATTTTTGTTATTAATTAATTAACAATAAAACACACAGTACTATCTAGTGAATTTAAGTTTATAAAATTTTCAATTGCATAAACCCCTACATTTTGGCATGCTGGTGGTAAGCCTTAGTTTTTAAATTAAACAAAAAATTTACCCAATTAATTTGCATGCATAATATGCACCCTAATATATATATATATATATATATATATATATATATATATATATATATATATATATATATATATATATATATATATATATATATATATATATATATATATATGTATTAAAATTTTGTGAACCGAAAAAACTTATTGTGAACCAAAATGAACCAAAAAAATTATTGTGAAGATAAAATAAAATTTGAAAATTATTCAATAGAAAACTTTTTTTTTCTTTTAGGTTCATGAACTTGTATCGTTCTATAGACAACAATTTGTCTATCCTGGAGTTCTTTATATTTAATGAATGGAAGGTTTACTGCTTTTGTTGTTGTTGTGTTTTATTATTATTATTTTTTAAATTTTTTTTTCACCTATTTTTATTTTGGTTCTGTTAATCTAGTGGGGAAACCAAGAATATAACCGAATTCTCAAAGCTCTACCTGATGAAGATCGTGAAGTAAGTTTTTTAACACGATAATATTATAAATTACAATTATATAAAAACTACAAATATTTTTATTGTAATTTTTATTTTAATTTTATTTTAACATGTGATAACTAAAAATCTGAAAAGTTTGAATAAATATTAAAATATAAAGAAATAATTTAACTTTACTTCCATTCACTTGCAATCACTTCTATTTTGTTACAAATTTAAATCTTTAAATGTATTATTTAAAAAAAAATGTATTTAATAATAGTTAAAAATAGAAAACAAAGACTCCCTTAGAAAACGAATCTATGCATTTTTGGATTTGCATCCAGATAAGAATAAAAGCTTTATTGTAAATGATTTTCGAATGGAGAACATACCATTTATAATATACTTCAAACTAAGAAGAATATTATAGGACCAGAAAGAAAAGTTGGTAGTGGTTGCAAAGCAAAAAAGATGTCTGTAAAAGCGTCTTAAAAAATCAATTGATCAAAAGGATGGTATTTCACAGAGTAGTCTTGCAAAACATTTCCATGTATCACAACCGCACATATTCAAAATATTCAAATACAAATTTGAGCCAAAATTACTTGTTTGGATTGCATTCTTGACGAAAGGAATCTCTCAGCAGTACATTGCTCAATTAGACCAAGCAGTCAATGAAGATGTGTATATTTTAAAATGACTTGTTAGATTAGAGAAATTCATTGAAAAACATCTTAAAAATGACAAAATTGTCTTTTGGGTTGATCTAGCTTTGTCACATTATTTGCGTATAGTGCAAGGTTATCTAAAAGCTAAAAATATTGAATTTGTACTGAAAGAGCATAACCCAACATAATGTGCCAGAATTACATCCAATTGAAGATTTTTGGTCTGAACTAAACTTTGGTCTGAAGGGGTTAGTATATAATAAAAACTGGCAATCTTGCTGAAAATCTAGGTAAACTTAAAAAGGGGATAGAGTTTTTAATAAGAAAATCAACATAGAACGTCTCCATTGGTTAACTGCCACATCATTTACAATGTAGACAATGTTCGTCGTCATGGCATGAAAAACTTATAATTTTTTAAAATTTTGTTATTTTTTGTTATTATACTTTTTAAATTATTAAAATTGATCATTTTGTTAAAAAGTTATACGATTTCTAATTTTGTCCAGATTTTTAGTTATCACATGTTAACAGTATAAATTATAAAAGTTTTTAGTGAAATCTTAATAAAGTAGAATATGCAATTCTGAAAATGAAAATTCTACAAAACCATATTTTACATTTGAGTAGAAAAAAAAGTCAGTTTTTTTAAAAATAAATTTTCTAATATAAAATTAAAAATAAATGTCAAAAATCTTGAAAAAAAAATTTGATTAAATTATATTAATAATTAAATTAAAAAATTTGAAAAATTCCATTAAAAAGAAAATGGCAAAAAAGAATTTATAAAAGTTTTATGGGATTTAAAATTGAAATGAAAATGAGTTAATAGTTTTTTAGTAGATTTTTTTTTTTAAATAGTTTTAATGCAATTTTTTCAAAACTATTTTAATGTAGAGTTGGAAAAAGTAACAAAATTTTGTACTCAAGTAAAAGTACTTTTATTTTGAGTAACAGTTCACTCAAGTATAAGTAAAAAGTTATTAAAGCTCGTTAAAAATTTACTAAGACTAAAAGATACTGCATTACTTTTTTAACAACTTTTTAAAATTATTTTGAAATTTTTTTTCTAAAACTCTAATATAAAAGATTAAGCAGTGCACTTGTTTGATGTCTTCATAAAGGGTCGCCTATAAATTACATCACCAATTTTCGACTTTAAATACCATAATAAATTTCTTAGCCACTTTTAGTTAATTAATTACATCACCAATTTTTGACTTGAAATACAATAATAATTTTCTTAGCTACTTTTAGTTAACTAATTAATACATTTCAATACATGTAAAAAAAGAAGTTATTATAATTTAATCATATTTTGAAAGTCATTATTTGTACTCGCCTACAAATAATAAGTCTTTAGTGAAAATTATTTTTCAGTATTTTTAATATATATATAGATGTAGAGCCATGGATGGTTAAAAGTTAGGAGGCATGACTAACTAGGGAGGATTCAACTTCTTGTATTTTTTTTTAACTTTTTTAATTTTTTGTTTTATTTCAAAGTAGTTGTAAGTGTTTTTAATAATGTTGTTTATTAGTAATTATATATTATTTATAATTATTATTATTTATTTTATAAAGTTTTACAGAATAAGTGCATCAATGCATACATAAAATGACTAATATAGCCCTAGTCACTGTATAAATCATACATTTTCGATGGGATTTAATGCATAAATGACTAATATAGCCCTAGTTACATTGACTGACTTAAGTAGGTAAGTAGGAAAAGTTAAAAAACTACTATAGCTCCATATAATGTTGTACAAGTTAACAGTGACTTGATGGGCAAACAGCCTCTGAAGATATTTAATTTTTGATAAAAAATTTAATTTAATTAACTTCATTAGTAATAAGTGTAAATTAGTGGATGTCACTATCTATTATATTACGACTTTATCACAGCTGATAATGTCGTAAGCGCAGCAGAGTCTACATTAATCTACTAAGATTTAAAGTCAATTTAAAAAGTCAATTTCAATTTAAGCTAAATTGTAGCCAAAAAATGTAGCCGCAGTCAAGTGTACTTACATCAACTGAGGGTTTATGTTTGGTTAGGCATTCTATTAAAAGAGAAGTTTTTCTAGATATAAAAATTAAAAAAAAAATTTGCGTCGCAAAGTTTAATACCCCTTCCCTTGTAACAAAGCTTCACAAAATTACTAACCTCTCCCCTCTCCCTTCCTATCACATGATGTAATTTGTGAACAACTAACTTCATTTAAAACAGTAAAAACTATTAGGAAACAAAGTTATAATAAAAGTGCTGTTTTTTATCAAATAAAAAAATCGTACTTTTTGTGATATTAAACAATAGTAATATAATATAATATGATTTAAAATGTAACAAAGTAAAATACTTTAAAAAATACATGCTTAAATAAAAATAAAATTACACATTTAAAAAAGTACTTTGAAAATACAAAAAAAAAAAAAAAAAAAACTACTCAAGTGCAATAATGCAAGTAAATGTAATGTTACTTCTCTGTTACCTGTTTTTATTTTATGTTTTTACTAAAAATTTTAATTTATAAGTTATTTTTTTTAATTAAATATATAGTCTTTTTTTTCAATTTAATGTAAGTCATTAATATTTTATAAAATAAAAATATTAAAAATTTATTTCTTAACCTTTTGCTTCATTTGTTTAATTGCTAAATTTGTTTAAATTTTTTCAGAATTTTGACTTCGATATGAGAAGAATTGATTGGGAAAAATACTACCAGTCTATAACACTTGGCGTGAAATTATATTTAATTAAAGATGATTTAAAAGAGTTACCCAAAGCAAGGCGACTTCATAAAAGGTAATGTGTTTATAATTTTAGTTTGGGCTATTTTTTAGTTTATATTTTAAAAAATAGCCTGTGGAGTACTTGGTATTTTTTACTGTAAACTACTTTGTACTGTACTATACTCATAATTATGTATATTGTATATACATAAATTATGTTAATAAATATTGTATTATATTAAAGTTTTGACATAAATTTGCTGATCGATCACATGTGAACAGTGAACACTTAAAGAAAAAATAAAGTACACTAGAATAAAGTAGAATTATTTTTTTAACCAAGCATATTTAGACAGTTGTCAAGACTAAAATAAAAATTAATAGAATGTAAAATTATTTGAAGACAATAAGCAAATACAGTGCATCCAAACAATACTTACAGAAGAGTATGTAAAGTAATACTAATATGAAGACATAAAAAGACAGATAGTGCACCAATACAATACTTACATTAATAAAAGATATACTTTTTACAAACACTTAAAATAAACAAAGATATACATCAGATATATCACCAAACAAAAACCTACAAAATAAAATATTGACTGAAAATAAAATGCATGCAATAAGAGTATTTACTGTACTATACTTATAATAATGTATATTGGATTATATATGTATTAAAATATTTATTTTTATCAATAAGTTTTGTGGGCAACTACTCACACTTCAGCAAGCAAAATGAAAACTGGGGCCTACAAACTGGTTTAACATAAATTTAGGTTTATATCTATGTCATCTTATAAATATCATCAAGTCAATCAACACTATCTAAATTGTGTAAAAAATGACTTCTAAATGTTGTGTGTGTGTGTGTGTGTGTGTGTGTGTGTGTGTGTGTGTGTGTGTGTGTGTGTGTGTGTGTGTGTTAGAGCAGGACAGTCTTTTAATTTTATTTATAATAGTAATATAATTTGTTACAGCAAAAGTAAAAATTAATTAACATAATACAAAGTGTAGATTATCAAATAATAATTAGTAATTGTAGAGCTTCTAATGTAGCTTCCACTTAGGAGAGTTGTGAGCTGTTGTAACTCTATAGCCTAACAAGGCTACAGAGTTACAACAAGGCCTTCAAGCTGTTGATTAGTGATGAATTGACTACAGAATTTAGCAAGCTGTTATATATGTCCACAATCTGGTTGTTGAAGAGGTTGAAACATCAGAGAGTGTGTTTAAGAATAAAGAATATTTGATTTGCTATAAATGAGGAAATTATACATTGGCTTTCTACTTTAAGGTTGTTTGTAGTTTGAATTCTCAAGTCATGATTGTAGGTTGTTTCCAACATAGTTTGTGTCATCATCGAATTAGGGCCGTTTCTCCATTGAGTACTCAAAAGGAGTTTTTAGCGAGATTTTTTCACTTTTCTACAAAACCTTAACTTTAGCAAACCTTGGATTAAAAGTTGAGTTAATTCAAATTTAGCAGCACTCACTCGTTTTAATCTTTTTCAAATAATGTGTGTATGTTTGTGTATTTGTGTGTGTATGTAATTATATTTATATATACAGTGCAGTTTAAATTATTCAATTGCTTAATATCTTACTTGAATAATATTTGATTTGTATTAGAGTCTGGTTTCATTTTGTTAATTGACTTGAAAATTTTAGAAAAATGATGGTGCAAAATTATAACTTCATTTCAATTTTACTCTACAAAATTCTATAATGTATTGCAATTTGAGTTTATTCTTAATACATTGTTTTATTGCTGCCATTCTGAATAACTTCAAATATTTGATTTGGCATACTTTCTGAATGTTTTTTAAGATTTGCAAGATATGTTCTTCTAAACATGTACAATTGCCTTTTTCAATTCCTCAACTTTAGAATATTGTTTCCCTTCTGCATAAACATGTCTTGCTAAGATGCCCCATACATTTTCGATGGGATTTAAATCAGGTGAGAGCCATTCTAATAATTGAATTTTCTTGCTAGTAAAGCATAAGATATATGACTTTGCTCTATGGATTGGAGGATTATCTTGCTGGAAAATGAAATTGGTGTTACCAAATATATGGGAAATATCATTCAAATGACCATTCAACAAATTTCTATATCCTTCAGCATTTAATTTAGTAGTAATAAAGCCAATCTAAGTTTTTTCAAAATAATTAAACACACCCCAAATCATTACTCCTCCGCCTCTAATAGTCTTCTTTTTGAAAATATTTTATCTTTTCTAAAACACAATTTTTTGCCATTCTTTTTCCAAAGTCATGTGGTCCTTGGCCCGTTGAATACGAATGCGTTTGTGTGCTTCAGTTAGTGCTGGAGTTGTGCGTTTTTTTGCATATCTAAGAACGTCTGATTTGTTAATTGCACGATTCACCGTTCATCTTAAGCATTTCAATCCCAAATATGCACCTATTTGTCTTGCTGAGATTGTACTAGTGGCATGCAGAATTCGTCACTGTTGGCGAGTATAGGTTTTCTACCACTTCGTACAAGTATAGGTTTTCTACCACTTCGATGATTTGTGCAATAATTAGTTGAATCATTTACGAAACTATTGATTAAACGTGGTGAGCGTCTCAGTTAGCAAGCAATTGCCCTGTTTGATAAACGCAATGACCTGTAGGCTTCGATCTTGCTTTTTCATAGAGAGTGTAATTCCTCAATGCATTTGTCAGAATGTATTTTATAATTTTAAAATGTAATAAATTTAATTTGAAAATGGAATTTACTGCTATTTTTGATGGCTTTTGATTCAATTTAGATATCAAGGTTATAATTGTGCACCACCGTTTTGAACGGTTTTATAATTTGAGTCAATTAAAGTATAAATAGATTCATGTAAATTATTTTGTTTATTTCAAAAAATGATCTACAAAGAGAATTTGATCAACAAACTTTGAAAGGTAGTTTATGGTTTCTATACAGGTGTGGTTATAATTCTGCACCCCGCTGGATATATATATATATATATATATATATATATATATATATATATATATATATATATATATATATATATATATATATATATATATATATATATATATATATATATATATATATATACATATATATATATATATATATATATATATATATATATATATATATATATATATATATATATATACATATATACATATATACATATATACATATATACATATATACATATATACATATATACATATATACATACACAGTAGAATACCATTAACTCGGACTCTGAACGGATATATATATATTTTTTGTCCGACTTAGCGAATGTCCGAGTTAAGCGAAGCTTTTGGTATGTATAGAGAATTCAAGGGAAATTGAAAATTTGTCCGACTTAGTAAAAGTCCAACTTATCCAGGGTCCGAGTTAACAGGATTCTACTGTATATATGTGCATATAGTTATATATATATACATATATATGTATACATATAGTTATATGTGTATGTATGTATATATGTTATTGTTAAAACTATGTTATTAACACTGTTATATTTAACATAGTTATATATATATTTATTTATATAAATATATGAAATTTAATAAGAGTCTTTTAATTATGTTATATATATAATTAGGGCGGGGAAAATCTGAAAGTTTTTCTATATTAAGCTGTTTCTAAGGCGAAATATAACGTTGAATTTAAATCTGGGAAAATTTTTAGCCTGTGATAGCAATTTCGGTTAGAAAAACAATTTTCCGCAAATATATGCGTTTATTATATCATCCTATATGTTTTCTTTGGTGCAGGATCCAAATAAAACATATAGGATGATATATAATACAGAAATTTGTGACAATCAATGTCTACTTGCTAAATTCAGATTTTTTAGAGTAATCTGGAAGCAAGAAGAAGAAACGTTGGAAATGGGAAATGACTTAATGCGAAGTAGGACAAGTCAGGATACTAGAAGCTGATTTCTTAGCTACAGTGAAACAGGCTCGTCAACTAGCGGTGATTAAATGTCAAAAAATAAAGGTTTAAAAAAAAAACATCTTAAGAATCAAAAACTTAAGAGCTTCTTAGAAAGTGCAAAGAACACAACGGTCCCATAACTTTAAAAACTGTCGATATTTTGGACTCGTTCAACAAGAAACAGCTGATCAATGAAGTTACGTACCTACGTCTGACGATAGCGTCTGAAATCAAACAGCGATGACGAATAAAACTTGATTCTGGAAAATTTAAAATAATGAATTTTACAATTGACGAACTAAGATGTTCCATTCGTAACGCAATAAAATCAGAAAATGAATTCTCGAACAACATTGATACACTACTCAGTTGCTGTGAAAAGTGATGAGATGTTAATGTTTGTTCATGTGATTGATTAAAGTGGTCCGAGTTTATGATTTTCAAACAGCTTGCAGAATTTTTAATTCATTCAGTTGATTTGTGAGACGGGTTTCAAATCGTCGATCAAATATTGTATTGGCGTCTCGTCATTTCTAACTGTAAAATTTCAGACTATTGCGATATCGGGCTTGTGATACTTTGGTATGCATGAAACGACTACAGAGTTGCAGTCGTTTTATGCATACCAATTTTCAAGATTTAATTTGCAATTGATTCTTAAAAAAATGCACTTTTTCAACCTAAATCGTCATGCTAGCTATTTCCTCCTCAGAAAACACTCGTTTACTTGAATTTTTTGAGAAAATGTTATTTGCCATACCCTAATATAACATTTAATAAGACTCTTATAAGCATCTACAATTAAATTAAATTCATCTATATATAAGTATATAGGTTTAGTATATATATGAGTATATAGGATTAGTATATAGGTTGATTGATAGATATAATAGAGTAAATAAATATTATAAAGATATTTAGTTTGTATATTTTTATAACATTTGAAATTTCAGATACAAGTTGGTTCGTTGGTTGTCGTCGTTATTGATTACAATGTTATCTTGTAGATTTTTTTTCCTAAAATCGGAAAGATTTAGAATGCTGTGGTTTGAGGCGCTCTTTGCCATTTATAAATTTCTTCAATTCTTTAAAATAGCTAGCTTTAATGCGTAATTACAGAAGAAATGAGCGAAATTCTCATGGAGAAATTCTCATGCAGCTATCGGATGATTTACATCGGCAAGCGATCCGATTATAATAAAGTTACTTCCATTTGATCAAACTAGAAAACTGAATAAGTTTCGCTTCGTTGCAGTTTTACGTTGCGTTTTTAGCGTCGTTTTTTATGCATTTGTAGCATACAATTAATTTATTTTGTTTAATTTATTTAAACAAAAATGCGAATACAACACTAGAATTTTAATTAAATGTGGGAAAAATCACAAAAATACTTTTAGATTTTTTTTTTAATTTTTATTATTACTTTATTTTGTCATTATTATTGTACAATATTTTTTTACTCTCTGTACTTGGCTTTCTTATTGATTGATATATATTTATTAACAAATTTTGTTCTTGTTTTTATAATTCGCTAACTAACTATGTTTTGCTACGTTGCTGTTTTACGTTGCGTTTTTAACGTTGTTTTTTATGCATTTGTAGAACGCAATTAATTTATTTTGTTTCATTTATTTAAAGCTGCAAGCACTGACGTATGTGCTTTAATTTAAGTTGTTTGTTTTCATTGAAGACTGACACTGATTAGAGCCGTGAATAATAAACTCAACTTGAAGAATTTTAAATGAAACAATGACTAATACAAAATAGTGAACTTGTTAAACAAAGTTCAATACTTTTGTTTATAAAATCAAACAAAAAATTTCGGTAAATTTAGTTTTTGAGAATGTTGTCAAAATAAAAAATCAGCCGTATATGAATTTTGCGGTTTTAAAGAATATAAAAAGTGTAATCTATCATTACATAGAACTATTTCTAAACTAGCTACAGCTACGTTACAAGTAATCATAATCCAGATTTAATTCTGGGAGAAAGAATTTAAGATTAAAAATTTGGTCTTGGACATTTTTCGTTCAAGCTTGTAGAACCCTAGACGTCTGACAATCCAAGAGCAAATAAATAAGACATCTTGTTCTTTGGTGTTAAAAAACGATACTTTTTACGGTATTTGCTCTTAACATAAAATGTCAAAGTCGTTACACCCACACTCTAAAAAAGACGATTTTCAGGTTATAGTCAGTTTTTTTACATTTTAGTCGGCTTGACACAATTTAGTCGGGTAAATTTTAGTTTTAAGGACTTTTTTTAGAACCCAGTCGGTCTTTTTTAAGTATTGACCCCCTTCCCCTTCTTTATTCATAGAATCGTCTCTATATGCAATCAACATTTTCCAAATACAAATGTTTGCACTTTAGGTTACAAAAAAATCTTTTCTTAACCTAAAGTACAATGGAATGGCAAATACACTTCAATCAAATACAAATATTTAAGAATTTTTTTTATCAAATACAATACGAATACATATACGTCATGTTAGCCTATTTTTACGAAAACAAATAGTATTTGATGCAAAACCCTGTTGGTCACAAATTTTATGTTGGTATCAAGCGTAGAATCGTCAGCGATAAATATCAGTATACAAAGCAATACAAGAAAACAAAAAATATTAGGTTTTGGCAAAAAATGTAGATTGTATAAAAATTGCAAACTTCAAATACGGTGAACTCCGATCTCTGCAAGAAGTAGATCTTAAAACGTATCTTTTGTTCTTTATGCTATCCCTTCCTATAAGATTTTGGCCTGATTTATCCAGCTATCATGATTCTAAATCAGTTATAAAATGATACCGAAAAAATAGCATTGAAATCATTCAACAATAAGTTGACGGTAATGTCAACAATTTAAGTTAGTTATTTAAGTAAGTATAAGTTAAATAAGAAACATGGTAAAGTCAACGCGGAGTCTGAGCAGTTCAAAAAGTGGAGAAAAATTTGACGTCGTGTTGGTTACTTTGTTTGGCAAATAAATAAAAATTGCGGTTGGTCCATTTGGCTTCAGAAATAGTATTTTAAAATAAATTTGATGATGTTGTATCATTACTAAAACCACTATCATCAAATGAATCACATGTTCCATCTCTCTTAATACACCATTAATTTCAAGTCATCATTCATTATCACTTCTTCTGTGATATATTTCAAATATAAGTCAAAGCTATAAAAATTATAGCAAATAAAAGAAGAAAAATAACGCAAACAACGCAATTTGGATTGCATTGTTTGCGTTTGGTTGGACCACGGTCAAACCAAACGCAAATAACGCAATCCTAATTTCTTTTAAATCTAACATCAGTACCAATGCCAGTTTTAGAAGAAATCGGGATCCCAATGCTTTCCAAGCTAACCAGAAATCATTTGACGGGTCTTGTTTTGCCAATTAAATCATATGTTCCATGGCAAATAATAAAGTTCATGGCAGCAATCATAGAAAACTATGGTGAAAGCATTCAGTTACTTCACCAAAAAGTAGCAAGAAATTTTTTTTTTTTCTAATAGAAAAACAAGATTCAGCAGGTTCAATTGTTTAGTTAAAAAATGCAAGTATTCTAAAATATAAAAAATCATGGTATAGCAAAAACAAAATTATCTTATGTCGGGGAATCAAATGTTGTTGTCAGTATAAATACGTATGAAATACTTTCAAAATTTAAACCGTCTAAAATTTTTCTTTTATATACAAAGATATACTTCTGAAGGTTTTGTTGTTGATACTGCTGTTCAATCTCTTGTCATTAAAGAGATTAATAATACCTGAATGGTATTATTAACCTCTTTATTGACAAGAGATTGAACATAGATTGTGCAGCCGTGCCACACAATCTTCGTTGAGTATAACTTACTACGAAAATGTGCGCCACAGCCGCAGATCTTCGTTGAGTATAGGTTTATTTGAGGGTAAACTGGGGTAAAGTGAACTAGGGGTAAAGTGAACTATTTTTTTAAACTAAAAAGTTATCATGTTTAAAAAACTTTTTGTTAAGTAATTTAGCATTATTTTTGCTTAATACAACATTTTGAAATTTTTTAAATAAAAAAATTAATAAAATATAGCCTTTGTTTTGATGTAATAGCCATTTTAAAAAGCGAGTTTGGCGGAAGTTTTAAAATTACGATCTCAAACTTTGCTATGGGTTTTAGTAAATTCATGATTTGTTGTTATTAATGCGAACATCAGTTATATAATTTATATACATTTTAAAGATAATATAATGCTGCTAAAAAAAAATTGTAGTTTTTATCATAATATAAAAAAGCTAAGCTTTTAGTTTGTAAATCAATTTAGTTCACTTTACCCCTTATTTTTCTGCCTATTGGGGGTAAAGTGAACTAGTCTTTTTCTTATGTTTTTTCATCAAATATTTTTAGTAGAACTGAATATATAAATTGTAATTACTTAACTAAATTGTTTACTCTTAAAATAAGTTGTTTTTTTTTTAAATATTCTTAAAATTATTTTCAGAAATATAATATATTGAAATAATGCCAAGAAACTACATTAAGAAAAAAGAATCTCGAAGAAAAACATATGCACCTAATTTGTTGCAAAATGCCATTTCGAAAGTTAAAAATAAAGAAATGACTTCGTATGCTGCATCAAAAGAATATGGTGTTCCAAGAAGTACAATTGCAAGACATAGGCATAAAATGCTCAAAAGTTGGTGAAGGGCGACCAAACCGATTATCTGCTGATGCTGAAAAAGATCTTGTTTCACTTTTATCTGCATTTTCTGATTTTGGATTTGGATTAGATAAAAAACAATTTATGAAACTTGTTCAAACGTATATTGAATTAAACGGATTTCAGAAAAAATTTGTTAATGGTGTTGCTGGTGATCAGTGGTTTTGTAATTTTTTAAATCGTTGGCAGAAAGAAATATCTATAAGAACTCCAGAGCTTTTGACATTAACAAGAGCCTTAGCTTGTAATAAAACTGTAATTGATGCTTGGTTTTTATTACTTAAAGCAACATTGGAAAAATGTGACATTATGAATAGATCTGCCCAAATACTAAACTGCGATGAAAGTGGGTTTTGCACTAACCCAATAAATAAAAAAATTATTTGCAAAAGAGGTATTAAAAACCCTGTATCTATTGCTCCTGGATCAGGAAAAGAACAGTTTACTGTACTAGCAACAATATCAGCTGCAGGAAGAAATTTTCCTCCATTTATTTTATTTGCTGGGAAGAATTTGTATAAAGAGTGGATGACTGGTGGACCAAATGGTTCCTTATATGGGGTGACAAAAAACGGTTGGATGGAAACAGAAGTTTTCACTGAATACTTTAACCATCTTGTTTTATGGTTGAAAGACACACCCAAGCCTGTTTTGCTTATCTTTGATGGTCACATTAGTCATATTTCTTTAGAAACTGTTAAAAAAGCAGTTGAAAATCATATAACTATTTTGTGTTTGCCAGCACACTGTTCGCATTTGCTTCAGCCACTTGATGTAGGAGTCTTTCGCCAAGTTAAACATGTATGGCGTGAAATTCTGGCTAATTGGTATACCGAGTCAAGGCTGAAGGTGGTTGGGAAATCTGTTTTTCCATCTTTATTAAAAAAACTTTATGATACCTCCTTTAAGCCAGCTCATTTAGTACAATCCTTTGCCAAAACTGGAATTTTTCCCTTTGATCCATCTGCTATAGCATCTGACAAGTTAAATCCTTCTGAAATCTATGAACACCCTTTTTCTCAGAAAACAAATAACTATAATAATAACGTCCCTCAAAACATCGTTTTAGACACCAATGTCAATGATCAGAACGATACTTGTGAAAATTTTTCTATTGAATCAACAAATAAATACAATTCACAAAAAACTCTAATATCAGTAGGAAAAGACTTAAACAATGAAAAAATAAATCAACTATCAATATCAAATGTAGATTGTTCTACTGGAAATAAAATCATTAGAGAAATAGTGAAAGAACAGTTAATGGCCACAAAGGGTGATGGTCGTTCATACAACAAACGACCTACAAAAAAAATAAGAAGACACTATGGAGGTGAGTGTCTTACATCAGAAGATGCATTTAAAAGATTAAATGATGAAGAAAACGAATGCTTTAAAAGAAAGATCAAGCAGCAAGGCAAAATACAAAATAAAAAAACTAATTTATTAGAAATAACAAACACAAAAGAGTTAAAGATGAAGTAGTTCACTTTACCCCAATGTGGGGGTAAAGTGAACTAGTGGACATGTTTTTTTTGAATATATATTTAATATTGTAAAAGTAGCTTTTAATCTTAGTATTTTGTTTTATATTGTACCTAATACTTTAAATGGTATAAATTTTGAAAACTGCAAAATGTTTTGGCTTTTATTTTGAAAATATTTCCTTTAAATATCAAAAACAGTTCACTTTACCCCAGTTTACCCTTTTTACCCAAGCGTTGAGTCCTAACTCTGATTATAATTTTTTTTCGTTAAGTATAACTTTATTTAGAATAAGAATAACTTAAGTATAACAACAAATTTTTATTTCTTAAGTTACTTTTTATATGTTACTCTGACTTACAAATTTTATTTAAAGTATATTTTAAATAACAACTCTCAAATACATTTATTACAAAACCCCTCAAACATACTTACAACTATGAAAATTATCAAAACTGTAAACCACATAATATCATGGAATATTTGAGAGTTTACGACAACGCATTGCAATTGAATCATAGTTTACAGTTGGTTAAAATTTAAAATTCAAAATGAGATTTTGTGTTTTATATGTATGGCCCATATGATAGCCATGTCTAATTTAGAACGTATTTATTTAAGGATTATACCACACTAAGTGGAATAATTATGCAAATGCATTATGTGTTTTATATATGGGTCACACTGATCATCAGCATATATATTAATCATCAACTGGAATATATTTCAGTTGATGATTGATATATATGCTTTCACACTTTTATTCCACTTCTATGCACTACGGCATAAATGTGGGCCACATATACCTTTCTTGTCGGGATATCTGCATTAATGATATCTTTAGAGTAATATTTTACGAATATTTTTACCCAATTTCAATAAAACTGGGAAAAAGTTTGTGGGAGGTATGTTATTTTAGATTATGGGTTGAGAGATTTTTAACTCAAATTTACCACCGTGCACTGATCTTGTTTTATGTCCTCCTGAAATAATATTAGGAACTATTACTTCCTGAAATAATATTAGGTACTAAGGTGTTGGTACTATTTCAGTTTTTTACTAGTGCGTTTGAAGTTAAAATTATGTTCTCCCCTGAATTACGGTTAAATTGAAGTTTTTATGTTAATAAAAACTATTATTTAAAATCTATTAAAAATCTCAAAAACTTAATCTCCACCAAAATATTGAATACAAATTAGTTTCAACAATATAACTACTCAAAAGTGGTTTAGGAAAAGTGGGAAATCAATCAATTTTATTTGACCGCATAAAAAATTTGTTTTTGGGAGTACTTTGCAAAAATGGTATTTTTACCACATGCAGGAAGAAAAATCAATGTCTGGTAAATGAAGGCGAAGAAATCTCATTTTTTAAAATTAGATAACAGTGATTAAAGAGCTAATCACAGTTATCTAATCTACTAAATGGAGTTTTTGAAATGTCCCACCCCCTAATCACAAAATATATATTATAAGTAATGCTTCTTGTCACAGCTTTTCACAAAATCTATGACCCCCTCCCCTTAAAAGTATGACGTAATTTGCAAACGACCCCTAAAAGTATCATTTAAAGTTTTTTTTTACTTTTTTATAACGCGGTGCATTCACTTAAGAAACTTTGATGCCTCCTGTTGCGCATTTTTTTCATTCAGCACAATATTAATTTTTAAAGTTTAATTTGTTGTCGTTAAAAATATGGATTTTTATTTATTATTCAAATTTTTTGTATCAATTGCAATCGTTAAATTTAACACCGTTAGTTCTAGAGCTGTAAAAAAAACAGTTTTGGGGCCGATCTACGGCAAAGGTAAATTAAAAACTGCATGCAAAATACATCTGATAACAATTTTGAAAACTACCGTATAATTTAAACCGATCGTAAATTTTGTAGCAATAATATTTATATGACTTTAAACCGATTGTATATTAGTAGTATACATACCCAGATGAAAAGTGTGCATACCATGTTACCAAATGTTTCAATAATGGCATTTTAGCCGTTAAGCCAATGTTTAATCAATATAGTTGACCATCATACAGCAAATAATACCATGTTGCATTGAGTAATATAGTTTGTTTTTTTTTCTATTTTTTTTTAATTAGTTATTTAGGTGCTCCAAAAAGTCCTAATGGGCTGTAATAAGTGCATTACATTGCACTGCAGAAAAGCATTTAATCAGGAAGTTCACCTCCTCTGGTGAAAGCATTTAATCAGAAAGCCTCTTTCTTTGCCAATCCATATTTGGCAAAGCCGACTTCTGAAAACAGAACTCTAACCACACCACGGTTACTGTATTTTTAAATGTAAAACCAATTTATCTATAGTTTCCTTTCACGATTTTTTTTTCTTTAAAATAGAAAAGAAAATCTCAAAGAAACATTAAAAAAGATTCTTTAAGATTAAATCTGATCTTTAGATTGCCACTAATCATTAGACTGCCGCTTTTAAATTTTTTAATTGAATAGTAGAAAGATGTTTAAAATTTAATTTTCTTTAATACCAAGTGTTAATAAAAACATTGGTAACTCTTCCTTTTGTAATTGGGCTAATGAATCGGCCAAAATTGGCCCACCATAAACATTTGGTTTGGTCCGACTGCAATGTACGCTTGCTTTCAAAAATACAATCAATATTTACTTAAATGCAAAATATTTAAAAAGTTTTTTTTTCTGTTTTTTTTTTTTTTTAAAGAAGCATTTGAATTTTGTGTTTTTTTATATACAAAGTTAAGCCTTGTTTCTTTGCTTTGCAAATTTAGCGAACCCTCAATTAATAAACAAAATAAACAAAAATATTACAATTTCCAAAACAATTCAATTTACTTTATTTCATCATTTTAAATAAATTTTTTATTTAGATATATTCTGTCCTAAAACAAAATCTGAGCTTAAAACTGAATTAAAAGCCGAAGAAAACAGTAAGCTTATCATTTATAAAGAAAATATTTTTTTTCAAAGTCAAAATTAAATGATTTTTATACAATAATAATGTTTTATATTTAGCTCAAAATAAACTTCCTGAAGGGATGATTTTAGAGGGAGACATTAGAGTAAATCAATTTTTTAACAATGTACGTCAAAGAGCTGAATATAACTCAAGAGATTTTTTGCAAGTTAGTGGATATACCTGGGAAACTACCAAAATACCTTTTGAATTTGAAGAAAAAGCTTGTAAGTTTTATCCTTTAAAAACTTTCTTTTTTATCTATTAATGATAAAAAATTCAAAAGTTCAACTTTAACGACTATTTAAAGACGACGTTGGTAACGACAACAAATAATTTAACTTCAGGTAAAGCCAAGTATACAATATCAAAACAATTTCAAATTGAATTTTTAGTTGTGTTTCTCTGTATTTTTGTTCTCTATTATAAATTCTATAACAACCATCTTTTTAAAAAATCCCATAATGTTATTTTTCTAATAAAACTCGTTTTTCATGTTAACAAATAGCTACTAAACTAAAAGAAGTGGTACAAGCTGCTATAAATGACTTTAATAACTACACCTGCGTCCGTTTTATTCCAAGAACAACCGAAAACGACTATATTGTATTTGCATCTTTAGGAGGGTAATTTCTTTATATATTGTATTTGAATCTTTAGGGAATTTCTTTATAAAGGCTTTTGTTTTTAGCAGTAATCTATATTTTAAAAATAGGTTTTAAAATCTATTACTCTTTTGTTTTTTTTTTAAATTTTAAATTGCATTGTTTATTATAAAGTTGATTTTTAATGAAACTGTTAGATGTTATTCAAACGTTGGTAAAGTTGGCGGCAAACAAGACATTAGTCTTGGCGACGAGTGTTTATGGAAAGGTTTGTCTAATATAAAACTTTTTTTTATGTTGAAAACAATTGAATTAAATTTAAATAAAATAACTTAAACTTTTTAAACTTTTGAAAAATGGCTACTATAAGTTTAGGAAAAAAATAATATTTATTTTGGATATGAACATTCCAATGCAAAAGTAATGTAAAAAAAAAAAACTGGTTTATATGGCTGATCTGTTATGAGATTTAAGTGGCTGATAACCAATTCTTTTAAAAATCTATTTGGGGTTTTATAATTTAATCAGGAACCGCTATTCATGAGATGATGCACGCCCTCGGCTTTTTTCATGAGCATACACGATTGGATAGAGATGAATATGTTACTATCAATTTTGAAAATATTGAACCCGGTAAGTAACATTAAATAATTTTTTTTTCTTTTTCATAAATCAGTCTTTTAAATTTTATTTTTGATGTTGATGTTCCCGTAAATAATAAACAATTTTAATAAGTTACTTGTGAATATATTTTTATCGTATTTATTGTTTATATTTTATTATCATAAGTATGCCTAACCCTAAATCAGTCAATATATGTATATATATATATATATATATAGTAATAATAATAATAATAATAATAATAATTCTCATTTTTATTTACACTTGTTGTATTTATTAGAGATGACTGATAATTTTCTGAAGTATAATGAAGGTGTTGCTGGATATCTTGATGAACCGTAAGTTAACTTAATATGGTAACAATTCTCAAAACAACCTTCTAATTTTATTTCCATTACTTTTACATATTTTACGTGAAACAAACAAATTTTATGCTTCATAATAGTCATACCAATAAGAAATGCATAGTCAGGAAGCGAAAAATGACGATTATTTGAGCATTTTGTATGCAACTAGCCACAGATCTTTGTCTCTGAACAAGCTATGAAAATTATGTTTCTTTTTTGACAAACTAACTGTTTTTCTTAACATATATAACAAAGATCGGTTTTAAATAAAGAATTATAAAGATAAACTTTAAAGTTTATGTTTATAATTCTTTATCTATATATTTGGCGGATTCAAGCTTTTTGGTATGAATTTGATGTCACTCAAGTTATACCACTCTACAATCTTCTTAAAATAATAAAAAAAGCAAGATCATGCTAGAACCAACAGGGGACATTGTAACTTTGATAAAATTTCAAAAGTCTAACTTGAAAGCATTCCTTGACGTAAACATCCGAGTTTAAAGTTGACAATGTGACAAAAGCTCGAGATCTCAAACTTGAGCTGCATATTGTTTGCCACAAGAGAAGTTTTTTATCAAATTTATATTTAGTATATAATTTATACTTGAACTTGTTGCTAAAACGTCCACGAACAGTTGAAGTATAAAATTTTGGACCTGGGAGCTGTTTGAAGTCACATTTAGTTTATAAACGTACATCCATAATTCTGCATAATTATGGATGTACGTTTCGTCATCCATAAGTATGCAGCCATTAAATTTTGTATGCACTTTGTCATAAAGTTTTCGAGCTCGAATTTTAGTAGTCAGTGATTGCTTATCTAATCGGTTTGGATACTTAATAGCTCGATAAGACTTGGATTGTTAATTTTTATAATTTCCTGACAAAAAACTCTAAAACTTTATACCTTTTGGCTCGTTCTCTGTTCGATAAGCCAGGATTTTGGGTGAATGATCGTCAAATACTAATTGATGCTTTCTTATCTTTAAAGCCACTTTTTCTTCAAGACCCTTTTGCTCGTTTGACAGATAGAGAGCTCTTGTATTGTTGTATAACCAACAGTATTTTTGCTAGATTCAGATGCTTCAGCGATTGAAAGTAACAATGCAGAAGGATTTTGTAGATAGTTGTGCAGATTTTTTTTTTTTTCGTTTTTCTAACTGTTTCGATGAGATTTTAATTAAGAGAAATATTTCAAACCGTTTGTTTTTAATTAATTCTATCATCACTTAATATATGCAAAGAAAAATAATTTTAAGATGTGTTAGTGAAAAAATTAAAAAAGGAAATTCGTCGTTTCGAATTTAACGATCGCATGCTTTAATACAAAAATTTTGTTTCAGGTTTCATTAATATTATAACATGATCGAGTTATTAATGATAGGTAGATAGAATGCAAATAATAAAACGATGAGATTAAACTAATAAAATCTGATTTTGATATTTTGATAGTAAAAAAAATTGTTTAAAACTTAGTAAAGATCCAAACTTCATCTACTCATCAAATGATGATAAAAGTAAACCACCTTATATGAAGTTGTTTAAGGAAGAGCAGCAGAAGTAATTGTGTCGTTTGAATTCATCATCTACCAGATACCACTCCACAATAATAAAAACGTTGTCAAAGTCTAGCTGATAAACCATCATCTGCTTATTACTATTTCTAGTATGATTGACAGTTAGGTGTAGGCATTTTAATTCTTCTTGGCCTAAGAGCTTTAAAAGATTAAAATCATCGAACCTAATAGGTTTGATTTAATTTCCAAATTTTAATTAAGTTTACCAAAAAAACACAATTTTTTTTTTCTCATGAAAGATTATTTTTTGTAAAGAGTATAGCTAATCTTTTATCGGTCAGTTGGCTAGTTTTGCAATTACTAAAATTATATTGTTTCAGCTAATGCTTATTTTTCGAAAAGCTGCATGTTTCCTTGAAAATATGAATTTAAAGATTATTTTTACAACAGCAAACAATGCCTCTCCAACAATTAGAAAGAGTCTATCAACATTCCAAAGGACAAAATTTGTATTGTTAATGCTAAAAAAATTGTTTACCTTGATGCAAACGTATGAAGGTATACAGGTAATTGTTCATTCATTAAACAAATATATAAGTTTCTTAATAGAATTCTTAATAGTGTTCCGTACATTCTTTCGAAAAGTTTTTTTCAAAATAGTGTAGAAAACGTTTTTGGATGACAGTCCCAGCTAGCACACATATATTGAGCCAACTTATGTAAAACCATCGCAAACGTCGCCTATTTTTTCCGATGCTAATCTAATGTTTATCTAAAGTCATGTGTTAGAAATGTTATCAATAAGGTCTAATTCCGACTCAACTAATAACAACTTGCATAGGTGCATTGGTCCAACTTATGTAAAACTATCGCAAAACCTTATATGAAGTTTAAACACTTGTTTAAATTTTATTTGGTCATAAATTACTGTGTTTAAAATTCACAAGGAACTGTTTGTCAACATAACAGTTCCTTGTGAATTTCGTTTACAAAGTTAGGTACACTATATATTTTTAAACTAAAAACTCATCATTTTTTGCAGTTCATGTAAAAAATGGAAAAAATTTGATTCTTATTTTACAGAAATTAACAATAAATCGATAATCGATAATAATAAGTCGATAACAATAAATCGATAATCGATAATAATAAGTCGATTATCAGAAAACAACTTCCATGTTCCAAAATCTTATGCAAACCTATGTTCTTATTCTATTCAAATCCGCGGAAGTAGAAATTATGCGAGTCAAAAGTTAAATTATATATATATATATATATATATATATATATATATATATATATATATATATATATATATATATATATATATATATATATATATATATATATATATATATATATATATATATATATAATATAGTGGCGTAGAAAGGTCGTGAAAGTTCGGGGGGGGCTGAAAACATATATTAAAAAGAAAAAAGTTCCTCAATTTCGTATGATACTGCAAAATAAATAAAAATGATCTATTTATTCAACTATTTATTACACGCAACGTGATTAACCATCTTTTTAACGTGACTCCTCATTTTTTGCCACCACAAATTCATTTAAAAAATAGTTAGTATGCGATAGTATCTTAAACAGTTTATTTGCGATCTTAAACAGTTTATGGTTATACTTTTCCTTGTGATGTTTAATTGTGATTGATCAATGCAGACTGGAAAATGATAATTCCACTGTTGCTATCATAAAAGTTTTTTCAAAACTGTTTAGAAAATGGGGGGAATAAATGCAGTCTGCCCCCCCCAGTACTTTAGTTAGGGAGGGGGGAGGGTTTTTGTCCCCTCCGCCCTTCCAGTTCCAACGCTGGTATATAAGGGTAGTCCAAAAAGCAACAATTTAAAAAATGTTTGCAGCATGCAACTTATTGTTTTCTATATAATAAAATAACATTGGATTTAAAAGTTTTTTGAATTAAAATTATTTCCAATTGCTATGCAGTCAAATCTAAAATAATTTTTTTCGTCAGAGTTAGGGTTTCTTGACCACCTTTATAATGTGTTCAATGTATTCCTCTTAAAGAATACATTGAAGTTTAGCTTATTAAAGAATGTTTGATTTAGTAATTAGTTATATTCATCAAAGCTTGATTTGATGTTTAGTTACGATTATCAAAGCGTAATGCATTATCCTTCTACGGCTTTTTCAAAGAATGGACAATTAACTATTGAGCCTAAAGATAAAAGTGTGAAACCAGATGTCATTGGGCAAAGACACGGATTTAGTAAAATTGATTTAATCCAACTTAACAAAGCATTTGAAGTAAAAAAAAATTTTATATAGTTAATAAATACTATTTTTAATTAAAAATAATACCTGCACGTAAGGCAAAAAAATAATTGAAATATGCAAGTCGCCCAAACATTAACGTTCACTTTTTCTGATCTTTCCCCTGAAAACTCAAATCTAAATCCCAAATTATCTTAAATTAGTTCCCAGATTATTTTAAACGTAGCTACCTTCAATTATTTAAAGAGTTAGCAATAATACTTAAGTCGTATATTATTTGAAAATATAATATAAGTTTCTTTAATCTCGTCATTTAGTGTAACAAACCTAAACCTACAATGCAGACTAAAACCCAATCAACTGTACAACCAACGCGTAATAAAAAAACTTCCTCGCAACCAATAACATTACCCGAAAGTGTTACCATTTCACCTATAACTAATCCTCAATTTAATCCTACAGCAATAACGAACCCAATAACCATACGTACATCAAAAAAGCCATTTGTTATCACTAAATTGCCAATTGAACAAATGTCGACTCCTCAGAAGGGAAAATTTCAAAACCAGATTAACAGTAGCTGCAGCAAAGGTTATCTTATTTTTTTTTAATGTTTTTTTTTCTTTTTTTATCTCATTCATAGAACGACTATATCCAATGATGGTTTGATTTCTTTAATTAGGGCAAAATAAGGTTTCGTCAAGTTTTTTTTATCATAAAATGAATTCGCAGTGAAGTAGACAAAATATTCCGGTTTAAAACTTTTTTTTGTTAATTAGAGTCTTTGTTAATGTACTGGATAAAAACAAGTTCTTAAGTTAATTTTATGCATATACAAATGTTTTTTCATGATTAAGTACTGAGGGGCAAGCTCGTTAAATACTTCAGTAATCTTCAGTCTAATTAAAAAATCACTTTGACAAAAGACTTCAATTAGACTTCAAATAGACTTCAATTATTTTAACTATTAAATATTTATTTTAATATTTGTCTGTTTTATACTTAATTTTAGAGATTTCAAAGTAAATATTTTGGTATTAGTGACCTGTTTCTTACAAAACTGAGATGAGTTAAACAATTTTTTTTTTTTATTGTTTCAATGAAAGAAGTGTTACATTTAACTTTAGATTTAAAGTTAGCTAGAAATACTATAGCTAAAATTTGATATCACAGCGGAACACATAAATCTTTTTGCACGTTTTTTCTTGCTGTATTAATTGATATTATTTGATTCCATTGAGTTTGAACTATCAGCATATGTCAATTAAAAAACTTTTAACTCAAAAATTTTGCTGTCACTTTCACTTAAATTTTTTTTTGGTAGTTTATCCATGTTGGCCAAACGATTTTCAATTGGCAACGACCAATCAGCAGCCGTGTTGCACCGGTAATCACATAAGTGGTCAAAAATGTCAATGTCATTGTATGAATACAAAAATTGGATTTGACAACTTTCTTTGTTATAAAAGAAAAGCTAAAGATCCAATGTTTTCATTGTCTGATACAAGTATTTTTTTAGTTTTTTTTTTGCATTAATTTCTTTCATACTTTTAATATATATATATATATATATATATATATATATATATATATATATATATATATATATATATATATATATATATATATATATATATATATATATATATATATATATATATATGTATATATATATATATATATATATATATGTATATATATATATATATATATATATATATATATATATATATATATATATATAAATATATATATATATATATATATATATATATATATATATATATATATTTATATATGTGTGTGTGTGTATGTGTGTGTGTGTGTGTGTGTGTGTGTGTGTGTGTGCGTGTGTACATACATAGTAGTATATATATTTATATAATATATTATTAGAACAGCAATAACAATAGTATATTTATATAGAACTAAAAATTAGCAATTTAAATTTATTTTTGTTTCTTAAAGAAATTCAACCAAATATGGAATGCTTATCTTTGAAAACAAATCAACAACCCGTGGAAAAAAATAAATATTTGTGTTACGCACAAGATACAAAGTACCAATTGTACTGGTCTCGTGACAACGCAAAAAAATTGCAGGAAAATAAATGTTTACTTTTTAAAAACAAATCAACTGAGTTGCAAAATTCAAGAAATGGTACCAGAAGTTATTTATGTAGAAACTAGATATTACATAGAAAGTTTAAATAGAACTGTAATTGTGACTCCTCGTTCTTCGTTTATAACGGAAGACATAATATATTAACCATTTTGTGCAATAACTTTTACAGGTTCATGAACACATAAAAACGAGTCGTGACTCGTCACAGTTGAATATTTTTGAGACAGAAATTTAAACTATTTTTAATTAGTTTTTCTATAGATTAAAATATTTCTCGACTGATGTCTTGTATAGAACATATACTCTGTATATAATATATATATATATATATATATATATATATATATATATATATATATATATATATATATATATATATATATATTATAATAATTATGATAATAATATTTATAACAATGAATTATTTTTTTGTTTTTTTTGCTTTTTACGCATAACCTCCGTGAGTTACGCAAAAAGTTTCGTTTTTCTATGTTTATACCATTGACTCTTGATTAAAAATTAAATTTAGGGTTTTTAAAGCGTTATCCTTCTCTCTCCTATATATATATATATATATATATATATATATATATATATATATATATATATATATATATATATATATATATATATATATATATATATATATATATATATATATATATATATATATATATATATATATATATATATATATATATATATATATATATATATATATATATATATATATATATATATATATATATATATATATATATATAGTCTATGGACTAGTTTTTGAGGAAATACTATGGTTAAAGCTAGATTCTTGTTTCAAGAAATGTACTAAAATGTTTTTTGGATATAACAAGTATTTAAGCGCTACAAATATGTTTATGGTACTAGGCCTGCCTAATCTAGGTGTTTTATTGCGTATCTACAGACTTAGCCTTTTAAATCAGTTAGTTACATGTGCCAGCAGCAATGCAGCTGTGTATAAATTAAACAGAAATTTTAATACAGCACTAATAAAATTGTTGATGGACAAAAAAAAAATGCATTGATACATTGTAGCAGCACCCTTATGTTTAAGCACCAGTTTTAATCTCTTTGGCATGGAGTCTACTAATTTTTTACACAACTCAACAGTTATTTCAGTGCACCAAACTCGTTTCAGCCAATACATGAGTTCGTGCATATTCGATAGAGTATGGATTGCTACTTTTCTCTTAATTATACATCAAAGATTCTTAATTGAATTTAAGAGTTTCCAGGCCAGTCTAAAAGCTTTATTATGTTTTTCTTAAGCCAGGTTCCTGCTGGAACGTATTAGCCTTCTGGTTGGCCATGACAGGTTTCAGCTTGTTTTCCAAGATTGTCTTGTACTTGGTTGCTTCACAGTTTTCCATTTTGAAATGAAATGTATGCTGCTATCGCTAGCGGCAGACATACATCCCCAAACCGCAATTTTTGGTGGATATTTGATGATTGACACGGAGTAACGTGGTTCGTACCTTGCACCAGATGGACGTCTAACTCCAGTAACCGAACACCAAACCGGCAAAACGTCGACTCATTACTGAAGAGTACAATTCCCCACTGGGCAGGCGTCCAATGTAATGCTTCTTGCAAAATAGCACTCGTTTCTTCCTCTGGACATCATCCAGCAATGGTTTCTTGACGGGTGTTCATCCACGAGTCGTCAACGAACGGAACAAGCAGTAACCGAAACAGGCAAGGATGGAGCGATTTCGGATGATACAGCAAATGGATTGGTAATTATTACTCGTTTAATGGCATTCTTATTGCGTCAGCTGGCCTTCCTGAGCCTCTTCTGCGGTTGCTACTACTCGTTTCTATGAACCTCTTTACAATACGACCCACTGTAGATTTGTGAATATCCATTTTCTCATCAATATTCTGATCTGACATGCTGTCATTTGCATAGACAATAACAACGGATGCTTTTCATAAAAAAAAAATGTTAAAAGTAAAAATATGAGTAGAAATAAATGATCATTCTCCTTAGAAACAGTATACCAGTGACTTACACATAACAATTATTAATTTATCAAGGTATAAAATGGGTAGAATAATAAAAGAATACAACAAAATTATAAAAACTAAGTTTTTATTGTCGTCTCTTTTTGTCGTACTTTTTTGCCCATGACTATATATATATATATATATATATATATATATATATATATATATATATATATATATATATATATATATATATATATATATATATATATATATATATATATGTATATATATATATATATATATATATATATATATATATATATATATATATATATATATATATATATATATATACAGAGAGAGAGAGAGAGAGAAAGAGAAGAGAGAGAGAGAAAGTAGAATCCTTCACTTAAGCGGCGTATATTAAATTATATATTTGTTTTATTGCGCTTGTCACAAATACGTCTGAATAAATAGATGAAAATTGCCAAAGTATGTCTAGTGTGATGGACTCTTCCACAGATTAAAAAATAACGTTTATTTGAGGGTCAGGATCAGGGTTAAGGTTTAGGGATATTATCAAGTTAAAGCAACCTGATCCTTGTCTTAAACCAATTTGAACCAGTCATGACCTAAAACTATTTCCAATACTAAGTTCTTTTTTTACTTTCGGCGTAGAGTTTTCATCTCATTTAGGGCGATTGATTTTTTTAATTATTTTTTTGTTCACATCACACATTGATAAATGAAGTTAAAAAACAATAGTTTCTTTGAATTTATTACTAATAAAGAAACTAATACTTTAGATTAAAGATAAAATCACCACATTGTGAACATCGTTGTATAATGGTAGTAAAAAATAACTTATTGTTTTGATTTGTCCCACAAAAGTCAAATATACTGAAATAAATACCATTCAAAATGTTTAATACGAGATATCATTTTAAAACTAGATTTTAAAAAAAATTTTAAAAAAAAAATTTTTTTTTAATAAAACGAGTTAGAAATAATTCAAGATCTTTTTTCGTCTTATAAGATAATTATTGTTATAATAAGTCTTATAAATTTTTTTTTACAATAATAAAACACAACAGTTTAAAATATTTCTTCAAAAAATCTTATGCGGATATATTAGGTTTTAAGCGTAACTGTCTAATATGCTCCACTTTCTCAATGTGCCCCGCTCTACTAATAGTTAACTACCTCTACTAACCCCACCCAATCTAACAATTATAGATGGTATTTACACAACGACTCCTAATAAACCAGGGGTTGCGGTAGCATTTTTTGACGTTTGAGAAAGTTGCATTTATAAACCCCTCATTTTAGGGGTTTGGAAATTTTACATGGTCATAATTTTCGAACACATAAATGTTATTAGATAAAGTTTGAAATCTATAGACGAATATAAACTTAGTTTAGAATAGTAATATAAAACTCCCACGCAGGGCTTAGAGTTTTTTATTCCAGGCTCCAATCACTTCAAAGCATTCTCCTTTAATTTAAGTCATATGTTCAAGTTTAAAGTTTGCTTCCGGAAACAAAACTTAGATTATTAATAGTGTAATATATCACCGTAAGTACTCTAAAAACAAAAATTGTAGCCTAGAGTCCTTTGAATTGCAACAATGGTATTTCAATTATAAATTTTTTGTCTCTTAAATTTTATCGCTTTTTGGGTTTTATACCGTAAGATCATATTTTTTTTATATTTAAGCTTGTTGGAACTAATTCGTTTATAATAAATAGTTTAGGGGGAATAAATTCTAGAAAAAAATCGGCAATGTGATAATAATAAGTGATTAAGATAATTCAAATTGGACTAGCATAAAAAGAACAAGTTTGCAAGAAAGTAAAAGTACATGATCAAATGTAAGAGTAATAAAGTATGAGCGTAAGAATAAGAAAATTTAGCGCAGCTCTTACATAAATACTGCAATTTCGCGGGCATGTGCTAAGAAACTAAAATGGCTGGCGCATTAGAGAACTAATGCAACATGGCATGAGAACAAATTTCCAGGGTGACTTATAAAATCTTACTCGTAGCATTGGATTATTGATATATGTTTTTATAAATATTGTAAACTTCATGTCCAAACTTATATTTAGAGAGGGCAGTAAATCCTTTTTTTTAGACTAAATTTTTACCTTTTTAACTTATTAATATATCTTTTTAAATTACTTTTTTGTAATGTTTTAATTAATATTTTATTTTTTTACAATTTTGTTGTAAAAATGCTCTTGTATATTTAAAAATAAACGTAAAAAACATAATAATCTAAGTATATTATATCATACAAGAAGGAGTTAGTGTTAAAAGTACTGAAGTCACAAAATAAATGTTTTAAGAAGAACATTTGACCATTTTAAATCTTTATTTTGAAGTGTTATATCCCTTATCAAAGTAGATTTTCTCAAAACAATAATTTTGTGACTAAAGTACTTTTAGCACTTAACCCATCAACTCTAAACATATGTATGTTTATAATTACGTCAAATAAAGGTGATTTGCAAAAAATTGCGATGATTGAAGCCTGGGAACAAAAAAGCCCAAACTTATATTTATAATTTATATATATATATATATATATATATATATATATATATATATATATATATAGATATATATAGATATAGATATATATCTTATACTGCTGAGTTAGGTGAGTATGATGATGTCATACTCACCTAACGTCAAATAGTCTGCTGCTGGGGGCTTCAGTACATACATCGACTGACAAATAGCCTGACTCGCAGTGGAGTGCTGCTATATATATATATATATATATATATATATATATATATATATATATATATATATATATATATATATATATATATATATATATATATATATATATATATATATATATATATATATATATATATATATATATATATATATATATATATATATATATATATATATATATATATGTATATATGTATATAGGTTTGCAGTTCTTAAATAATTGAGTTACGAATCATATCAAGAAAAATGTATAAGCTTACATTACAAACCATATAAATCAATATAAATAATAGATAAAAAGCATTTCAAAAGGTTTTAAAAGTACATTTGTATACTGTCAATTTTAAAAACTACTTCTTTCAAATTTTTTTTAAAAGATATGTAAATAAACTATGAAAAGGAGACGGAGATAATTTCGTTTTACATTTGTATCAGTCAAAGAATATAGTACATAGTACATACCAGGATAGAACTTCGAATAAGAGAAATTAAATTCATGTCTCGTGATTTTCTAGAGGAAAAATAGATAATGGTTGTACCTGATTTCAGACAAGCACTAAATGTAGCACTCAAAAGTATGACACGTGATGCAAAGGTTACAGATGAGGCCACAGAAAATTTAAGAAAGTTGAACCTCGTGCTTCTATTTATAAAATATTGCACCAATGAATATGAAGTATTGAAATTTTTTTATTGAACTTTATGAATGCGAAGGTTGTCTAAACTAAATCCTAAACTGGTGCTCTGTTTTCTCGTATATAGAATAAATTTAACAATATGGTTGCTATGTACCTTCAAAAATTGTTCATAGCAAAGTGGGCAACAAGGGGGTTTGCTTAAATTTTATAACCTGCAAACGTGCAGAGGGATTTGCAGAACAAACGCCTGTGGACCAATACGCCAGCTAGATAGTGCCCAAAACATGTTCATTGTTTTACTGATAATGTGTATCCATAAACAGAAAATAGACGATGTAGAAATGCAGAAAGCAGCCAAAGAATTTGTTTTAAAGAAAAGAAAGACTCATTTTATAATCTTCTAATTGTATATTGTTGAAAGAAACTGAAACTAATTTATTGTTTTGTTTAAATATACTATATTTGTGCTATTTATTTATATTTTGGGCCAAAAAAGGACTACTCGGTGTAGTTAAGGTGATTTACAAATTACTCGAATTCTTTTATATGAAATGAGCATTATTTTATCAGCGTATTATGTCTAAACAAGAGCTTTAGATGTTACAGATTTTTTTGCTTCAGGTATTTTAACTTTTAAAGAGACGTTTTTTTTTCATATAATTTTCAAAACTTTTTTGTTACCTCTATTAGTGAATCTAAAGAACACCATTTTGGACTCTTTAGATCACTTTCACTCATTGGCGTTAACATTAACTTAGTTAATATCTTTTAAAAGAGTGCCTTAACCCACTATAGATCCTAGTTCTAATTGGTTCTGACGTATATTAACTATATACAGTTGTCAAAGTACAATATTTCTATGAGTTTTGACAAAAAATATTAGAATTTCGACCAAAAAAGAGCATATAATAAAGAAAAATTGATATTAAATGATCAAAACAGATCATATTATTAAACTATGATGTTCATTTCACCTAAAAAGCGTATTTATTTAAAATCTTATTGAAATTTAGACAAGCGATCGTGATTTTAAGAAGATTTAAAAAAAAAAAAAAAAAGATTCTTCAGTTTGGGTTTTATCGCAACAAACGTTTATATTTTTATTGTTTCTGAGGCAAGTGCTGCTGCTATTTTAAAACTGCTTTAACTACTCCGAGTACGCAATAATTTAATACACAAAAAAAAAAATTAAATATGTTTTCTAATGTAATTTTACACCCAGTGGTATCCAATATATCTCGCATCGCTTTCGCCATGGTTAATTTTTGCTCGTGGTTTTTCATAAAAATTTGCACCCGTTGCAATTTTATATAAAAGGTTTTTTCAACTTTCGGCATCACCTTTGGCATCACCGAGGAAAAGGAAAAAAGACTTAGCTGAAAGTTTTCACGTGTCTTTAAGTCACGAGACACGTGCTATAATAGAAACGTAAACGGCGACAAATAACAAATGCAATCTTTTGATTACAAATTAGGTTCAATTAATTCAAAACTATTTGGTTTATGTAAACAAAACCATAATCTATGACGTCATAGTATCATTATTATTTGCTCTGTAATTTATTTATCAAGAATATAATAGAGGATGGCTAGATAATGGCGCTCACAGTTGTAAATTGCATCTTTGGAATTATTTCGATAATTGCAACTATAATTTATAGTGGACGTTCGTCGTTGTTTACACAGAAACTAAATGAGCTTTTGCATTGGAAATCTGGTTGTAATCCAATATCTTCTGTAGGTACAAACTTGTTGTATTTTTGCGTACAAAAACACACACACACACACACACACATACATACACATACACACGCATACATACATACATACATACATACATACATACATACATACATACATACATACATACATACATACATACATACATACATACATACATACATACATACATACATATATACATACATACATACATACATACATTAGGGATGTGAGAAAATTTTGAAATTTTAAAATAAAACAATATTTTTTGCATAAATATATGCCTTTAATTTTGAATTTTCTAAAAATACTAAAACTATCTCTGTAGGTCGAGTATTTCAAAAGTTATGAGATTTTTAAGTTGTGATTTATTATATATGGAGAGGCTATGAAAAGTTGGACCCAAAAATTATTTTTTTTACCAAAAAAATGTATATTGGTCTAAATTTTTGTGACTTAACTCAAATATTATATATTTAAATATATCTTAGAGTGTATTTAAGTGAAAATAATAATAAATATTAGTTTATGAATTAAAGTGATTGGTTTAAAGATGTTCATGCCATCATGAGATCACCAAGTATAATGTCACAAGCAAGTTGAACTTTTGGAATATCATAGTCTATTGCATCATTATAATCTTCATCCTTGTTCCAATAAGCAACAACATATGTATCCTGTATCTTTTTTTTATTTTTTCAATTTTTCCATTATATATAATCTTTTTTTTATCTTCATACCAAATATGGCATATATTTCTGCCTATGGCAGTTCCAGACATTACACTCAAAATATCATTAAAATTTGATTCACTAATGTCTGGAAACTCGTTCTCAAAAGTTTCAACACTTATATTTATTATTTTTAATTTTTTTTCTATTTTTTTCCTTTCTTTTGTATCTTTTTTTTGCCTTTTTTGCTCTGCTCTGTGTGTCATCTCCTTATTCACTTCAGACATCTTTAATCTATTAATCTCTCTTCTTTTTGTTGCAAAATTAATGGCCCACTCCATAACAGACTCTTTAACATGTTTTGGAAGACTGTTTAAATAGTTGTTAACATTATTTTTTCTGGCACGCAGTCTTGATGATAGGTAACAAAGAGTTGCATTAGGTGCAAATTTCTGAGCTGCACTAAACATTCCCATCACTTCCTCAGCATCCATGTTGTGTAGCCTTGCAGATTCAGTTTCCAATTCCATTTGTTCTGTGGGTTTCATACTGAAGTATTTTTCATATTGCCTATTGATTGTTTCAGATATAGCAGTCAAGCAAACAAGTATCATTTTTTTCATACTGTCGTCTTTAGGGCAGAATTCAATGAGAGCCTTCCAGACAAGATCTTTTTTATCAAACTCTTCATCAAAGAAATTTTTTGATCTTGATAAAATTTGTAATGGATTTTTTAGACATTGGTCAACCATATCCAGGACTTTTTTAATAATGACAATACCATCCAAATGAGAGATTTGTTTTTCGGCTGAAACATAAAATTTTTTCATCTAAGGACTAGTTATAAGTTTTCCTATTAACCCAGCAACACAAAGTTCTCGTTTAGCAATATTGTTTGCAAAGTCAGTAGATAAACTGGCTTGTAATCGAACGCATGAAAGAGTACCTAATGTCAGAAATGTTTTAAAAACGTCATAATGTAGAATTAATACTCCACAAATATGAAAAAAAATATGCAAGCGATTTCCTCTGTATCTAGGAAGTAAACCCTTGGGAAGTTTTTCTTTTAATAAAAATAAAACAAATCCTTTAGGATCACCTATTCCATCCATGTACCGAAGTTTATTTAGTTGCACAACAATATTTCCGGCCATGCAATCGCTACCAAATAATTTCCCTTTTTCTGTTTCTATTACTGCAAGTGCAGATCTACATCTACTGGAAAATGTTTCTAGAGGATGAAGATGACAGTTCAACTCATTGAAGGTTTTGTTCCATGCCAGACTTAACTTTTTTATTGTGGCATGGTTTGTAACTGCTCGATCCGAAATTGTATTAGCTATGCTGTTAATTATAGTCTGACGACATTCGTAAAAATCTTTTAAATGGAAAGAGGCATAAGTTTTGGCTAAGTTGTCTATGGATTGACATACATGCTGCTCATAGTCCTCTGATGTGCCACCACTTAACTCATCTAGTGCTACAACATGACAACCAGTTTTAGTAGTAAGGTGAATACAGCTGGCATGTACACCTTCCTGAGTTGTGCCATCAAATCCAAGCAATAAATTCTCTTCAGATATAGCAATTTCTGCTGTTTGGAGGTCAGTGATAACACCTAGTTCCCTCACCATTTGTTCGACAGTATTGCGGCAAGGAACAGTTTTAATGGTAAGACCTAGATGTTGGCTAAAACTTTGAATTAAAGAAGAAATGCAATTTGCAGATACTTGATTAATTACGGCATCAAAAACAAGTGTTCGTAGTTCTGTATTATATGTTTTTTTGTTTTTCTTAGTAACCATTAAATTGGATTCTAAATTATTAATCTTTTCTTCAAGAAGAAGATTTTGATGTTCAAGTGATTTAATTACTTGAGAATTTATAACAAGTTTTTGTTTTAGTTGTATAATTTCAGCATTTTGTTTTTAAGTTGCTGATATTTTTGTCTCTGTCTTTTTAATAATAACAAAAGCCTTTTGCAATTTTGTTGCCCTGCTTCAACTTTAATTGATTTAATTTTTTTTTAAGATTGTAAATAATAATATTTTTTTTCCAAATGTTTTTCTTTAAAAGTCTTACTTGAATGGGCATTTGTTTAAGTTTGCTCTTTGAGTTAAAAATTGCTTCTCTGTATTTTTTTCTTTCATCACTACGTGATTGTGATAATAAAGAAAGACGCTGTTTTAATTTAGCTTTTATAGGTGTTAAATAAGCTCCTCTTGGATCTTCAACTTGAACTTCTTCTATTGGCACAACCACCAAAACATTTTGCTGAGAAAGTTCAACAAAGGCTTCAGTAGATGCTGATGAAAAGTCATTTGTAGCTTCAACAACTATTGCCCCAGAGAAAACTTCTGAACAAATTTTTTCAAACTTTGACATATCCCTTGAGATGTGCTTTTTGAATTTAATAACACTGTTGTTTATTAAATGTCTAATTTGATTTTTTGTTGTTTGACAACCAAATGTTTCACTAACAATTTTTGCTGTGGTAGTAAAAGAAAACTTATTTTTGTAATATAAAAAAATAACATGTCCTTTGAGGCATATTGTCTGTGAATTAAAAGACACACCACTATACGAAGTCTGAAGATGATCGAAAATAACATTTTTTTTAGGCATTTTCAGATTTGTGAATCACTATAAAAAATAAAAAAGATCAAAATAAAGCACTAGTGCTTTATTTAAAAAATTTTATTTTTTAAACTAATGTTTAAGAGAGTTGAATCAGTCTATAAACAATCATTGTTACATTATTTACAGAATTTAGTCCTTTAAAATACTCCAATTTTTTACTGAATGAAGTTTTTTTAAATTACTATTAAAAAATAAACTTTTTTATGATAAAATATTAAAATGCTTTATTTACCTTTTAACTTTCTTTTAACAACTTATAGTAAAAATATTCTGAAATCTAATAATGACAAAAAATCTAATAAAAATACACTCAAATCAAAATCATAGGCTGAACAGTAAAGCAATCCAACTAGTATAATCAGTAAAACAAAATTTAATCATTTGTACAAAGTTACAAAGTTTTGAAGCGAAATGAGAAAATAAGTGTATGCACCAATCGTAATTCAATAAAACGACCTTGTGATCCGGAAATTTTACATATGCGTACTCAGAGTAACAATGCTTTAAGTTTTGAAATTCACAAAAATACCTTGTGTGCTTGGTGCAACCTTTACTTATTATGGGCACATCAGATTTACTTTAAATTTTGAGGATAGGTTGTTTAATAAATGTTTTAAAAGAACCTTTGCAATTAAAAAGGACCCTTGCGTATTTTAGGAGCAGTGATTAATAGAAAAACATCAAGGATTTAAAATGTAAAATTACACTATATTTTATTTAAAAAAATAACCATAAAATAAATCAAATTATAGGTTGACCTTTTTTTTAAATAAATACAAAATTTCATTTTATTTGGTTCCAAAATAGCGGTGCAGCTTGGTTTGGCTTATTTCAACTTTTAGCTAAATCAAAAAAAATGCGGACCAATTTTTAGAACACTTTTTTTACGGCGAAATATTCATATTCTCACATCCCTACATACATACATACATACATACATACATACATACATACATACATACATACATACATACATACATACATACATACATACACCATATTCAAACATTTCTGTTTTTTGCACTTTGAGTTTTAAATTCTTACATAATTTCAAAGAATAATAAAAAAAAACTTTTTTTTTATGCCAGAATAAAAGTTATATCATATCTTGATAATACCTGCCTAAACCCAATAAGTCGATATATGAAGCAAAGCCCCTGCAAGTAGCTTTTTCATAATGATGTAATCAATGACATTTCATCCAAGGCTAAATGTGCGAAGATGTTTTTATATAAGTATATATATGAATATAAATAAATAAATATATATATATATATATATATATGTATATATATATATATATATATATATATATATATATATATATATATATATATATATATATATATATATATATATGTATGTATATATATATATATATATATATATATATATATATATATATATATATATATATATATATATATATATATATATATATATATATATATATATGTATATATATATATATATATATATATATATATATATATATATATATATATATATATATATATATATATATATATATATATATATATACAGTTGAATCCCGTTAACTCAGACCCTGGATAAGTCCGACTTTTACTAAGTCGGACAAATTTTCAATTTCCCTTGAATTCTCTATACATACCAAAAACTTCGCTTAACTCAGACATTCGCTAAGTTGGACAAAATATATATACCTGTTCAGAGTCCGAGTTAGCGGAATTCTACTGTATATATATATATATATATATATATATATATATATATATATATATATATATATATATATATATATATATATATATGTATATATATATATATATATATATATATATATATATATATATATATATATATATATATATATATATATATATATATATATATACATACATACATACATACATTTGTTATCATTAATTATTTTTAATTCGTCTTGAGGTAATGTGACTTTGCATTATTTTGCTACACAAGGAAAAGCAGAAGCAATTCGGATGCTTATGGTAGATCAACAAATACCTTTCACAGAAACAAACTATACTGAGCAAACATGGCCAAACGCGAAGCATAATGGCACAGCCACTGGATTATTTACTTTTGGACAAGGTTTTATACTTAGTTATGAATATACTATTTTATTATATTGGTAATTGATTTTGGCATTGTCAAGTTGCATTTTAATTGTAAAATTAAGTTGCATAGTTGTGAAACTAAAACTGATTCACAGAAACTACTTTGTTTATTTATTTTTCTCTTAAGTTTTTTTATCATTAAAAAATTATTTATAATAGTTTCTATAGGGGCACATATACTTATACATACATAATGAATATGTATAAATATCCTTATATGCACACATATATACTTATATATACATATATACATTAAAATGGCACTTAAAATTAAATTTTTGAAAAATGTATTATGTTGGAACTTAAATAAAGCAAAGTTGTATAAAAACTGTGTCAAATATTAGAGATTTAAATAAATCAAATGATAGAAAAGGAGTTGTTGGGTTCGCTGAGTAAAATGACAGTTGGGTAGCTCTAGCAAAAGGTTAATTTATCAAATATAGGAGATTTAACCCCCTCTCCCCCCCAAAAAAAAAAGCAACAAAAAACAACAAACAAACAGAAAAGTAGTTTAGTTAATGATTATGTGAATCAAAAGTGATTGTTAAATTACCATAGGAAACCATAGAACTTCAACTGATGCTTCTTGATTTCAATTTGTTATTATGCTATATAATTGCCTGATAGTGGCAAAAAAATTTAACAAAAGTTTGTCAAAAAATCAACAATTTTATTTAAAGCTAAACTTCCAAAAAACTAACAAATAATAAGCTAATGAATATAATTTTGATTAGCTGCAACACCAATGGTAATTATTTATTGCATTAAGAAATTAAATAAAGTATCAAAAAAGCTAGGTTTTATGTATCTTTTATGTATATTTTTATTTTATGATACTTTTGTGTATCTTTTATGTATATTTTAAAGTATCAGCAAAGATAGGTCTTTGAATTTCTTTAATTTCTGAATAAAGTTTTTTTCTTTAATTTAAATAAACTCACTCTTAATTTGCATATATAAAAAAAGTATTTGTACTCATTATTAACTAAGAAAATTTTTTTTTTATCAAATTCCAAATATAATTGTAATAGAAAATAAGAAAAATTAGTTTATAATTGATGGCCTACTATATTTAAATAGCCTTTATATTTAAATAGCCCAATTGAAACAAAGTAATTAACTGTTTTGAAACATTTAACAATGCAAACCAATTTATATTTATTATGGTGTTATTTGCACAACTTTATAGTGGTATAGAGAAACTAATTTTTAATTCACTTGATTTTTTGATGATTGAAAGAAAATAATGTGCTTGAAAAAGTTCTGAAGTTTTTGATTTTTTTTAAGTTAAAATGTTTGTGTTAAATTTTGTAGCAAGATTTCATTCTAGTTTTTATAGCAGGAGTAGCTGCACTTTTTTGTTAAGGTGTTCATTAGGAATTACAAAAAAAACTTTTTTTTGTCTTATGTTGTATTCGATAAACATTTTGATTCAAAAAAGTAAAGTTATTTTATTAAATTTGGAAAAATTTAGCAACCTACTTGTTGTGTAGCAACATACTTGTTGTGTAGCAACATACTTGTTGTGTAGCAACCTACTTGTTGTGTAGCAATCTACTTGTTGTGTAGCAACATACTTGGAAACTTGCAAAAATCTATGTATGAACAGTATTAGGAGAAATCAAATTAAATGTAGCTATGATTATATCTTGATTATATCTTGTTTTCTTTTAGAATTGAACATAAGGTTTTGGTTTCAAACATCCAAAATTTTATTAACTATTTTTTTATTATTATTTCTAATTACTATTGTTTATTATTATTATTATTATTATATATATTTTTAATTATTTTTAATTACAATGATATTGCTTTCAAGTATCCAAACTTTTATTAATTATTTTACTTGACTAATATAATGACAAACTATTAGTTATAAGAAAATCATTTTCCACAAATCTATATTAATTTTTTATTATATATCTTTCATAACAACTGTTACATGCTTGGTCTGGGCACATACTTACATATCAATTCACCTATTTGTTGTGAAGTCAGGTTAGAAATTCTCTAACCATTCTTTTTTTGTGCTTCTTTTTAGCACCTCTTCACACAATCACTTCAGCATTTTGGAATGTACTTTAGTTACAAATAATGAACCTTTGTGTTGTAATAAATAAAATAATTTTATAGTAACAAATATTTTTAATGTAAATATACAATTGAGTTTTTGCAAAGCAAAGGATAATAGTCATCAATTGTTAAAGCTGTTTTCCAGAATAGGGCTGAGTAATTTTGTTGGTATTATCACACTAGACAATATTAAATGATTTTTGATAAAATTATTAGTTTTTTTATTCAGATACCAGTAAATTGCTGATACATTTGGTATTTGGTAATTTGCTGGTACATTTTGTCTATAAATATAAACAAACAAAAAGTTAAACATCTAGCGAAAGGTTATTTTGGTGAATTTACTTTTATTGTAATAAATAAATTTTGACATAAAATTGATTTTAAACTACATAAACTTTAATTTACGTTCCAACAAAATTAATTTATGTTTCAACAAAATTAATTTATGTTCCAACAAAATTAATTTATGTTCCAACAAAATTAATTTATGTTTCAACAAAATTAATTTATGTTCTAACAAAATTAATTTATGTTCCAACAAAAGCTAACAAATAAAAATCAACAAAATTTAATAATCCATGAAACTAATTCAAGTCAATATATTAATAAAGTAAAAATCAAGTTTGAAATTTATTTTCAACTAAGACTTTCTTCTAAAAAGTTTTGGATTAGTATATAAAATATATTTTTCAGTTTCACTATTTTTTTCATTAATAATTGATAATAATCATTATTATAATGATAAGTTTTGTTATATTTAGTTAATGTTTAGTTCATATTTAGTACATTATAACAGAATATCATAGAAGTCTTTTTTTTATCATTTTTTAAATAAAACATTAAAATAAAATGTAAAAAAAAAAATTATTTTGTAAAATTCAGATGATGTGTCAAAGACTACCAGGAAGCAGAACAAAATTTGTTTTCTAGAGTTTCCTTTGCAGAGTTTTGCCCCCCATTTGGCTTCCTACAAGTGGATAAATACTCAATAGGTGCTACTGGCCTAATCTCAAAAAAAGCAACAGGTAAATCAGTAAAAAAATTTTGATATAACATTTTTTTTTTATCATTCTCTTTAATATGAACACAACATGTCTCTGAGGTTTGGAATCCTTTTAAGATGCTCCAGGTTGGTTTGGAATCCTTTTAAGATGCTCCAGGTTGAGAATAATAATCCAATAGAGAATAGTGCTCTCTTTTCTATTCATTAAAAAAAACATTTGATTTAATCAAAAGTGGTAGAAATAGAAATGATGAGGCTAAGATGAAAGACAGAAAATTTTTGAGGAATTTTCTGATAGGAGATATAGTCAACTTTGAAAATGATAAGATTTTGTGAAAATGCAAGACACAGAAATCAGATTTAAATGTAAAAAGATAAAAATAAGAAAAAAGTAGTTCACTATTCGGATGGAGACTTTTCAAGCACTGATAGTGACAATCAAAATTTATTTACTTCTAGCTAATGTCCTGAAAAAATAGTAATGATTTCAAGGTCATGTCAAAGTTTGCCTTCACTACTTAAGTATGAAACACATTCTTCACAACTGGTTTCCTATTATGAATAGGAATTGCAGTCTGACCAGCTACTTTTGACTTTTCTTTACAAAGCTTGTGGAGTTAATAGTATCTTGATATCAAGATCAACATAAACAGAAAAACTCAATGTTGTAGAGACACAGGTAATCAGAGAGGAAAACCCAGATAAAATAAGAGGTTAAAAAATTGTTGTACATTATGATACAAAGATTTTGAAAAGGTATAAAAAAAAAGAAATATCTAAAAATGAGATTAGAATTACTATTAGTGCATCTTTGCCAGAGTTTGGTAACTAAAATTCTTAGAATTTGAAAAGCTCCTTAGAAATCAAAAGCTCCAGCGGAAGTATTTCATTTAAACTATGCTTGAATACTAAGAGGTTTCTGATCAGATTATTAGATTGTGTTCTAAAACAACATTCAATAAAACTGGCAAAAAATAAAGGTGCCATTAGCATTAAAAAGATATATTGAATAGATGTTCAGAACAAAATAAATAGACTATAGTAAAGCATATAATAAAAAAATAATAATAGAATATAAGCACCCTACATGCAATAAAAATGATAAAGTTTCCTATGCTCTAGATAGACCAGTTTCTTTAATTAATATGTAGACATCACATCTATTAAAGGCTGGAAACTGAAATTTAGGCCAATAGAAAATTCTGCTTTGAAAAGAAAAAGGCATCAAAGCTTGTGAAAGTTAGGATATTTCTCAGTTTTTTTTACTTGCTTTATAATGTGTGTAAGAATACTTGCAGTTGTAAATGACAGTGCAGAATGCCACATCAAGTTAATTCAAGATTTCATTGAGAGAACACATTGAGAGACAGACTTCAGGGTACTCTCAGGTATTTTGTAATTTAATACAGAATACAAGTGACATTTTTTAATAATTGGTTATTTATGGTTGTTGATGTATAAGTAGTATTTTTTATAATTTAGGTAGTTCAGATAAACCGGCAGAAGATTACAAATAAAAATCTTTAAATTATTTAGTTTAATATTATTTGTATTAGTAATATTAGTTTATATTATATTATTATACAAATTATTCTAATAAAATATTTTTTGGTTTATTTTGGTGAAAGAAAATGATAAATTAAATATCTAAATTTATTTTTTTATTTATTACAATAAAGTAATTATCGATTATCGATTTTAAGTATAAATTATAGTTTTGAGGTTGAAACCTTGACATTTTAAAAATTATTTTAAGATTTTATTTTGTTACATTTAAAAATGAGTTTCTCTCTAAAACCCATTATTTATTTTGTAAAGATATTAAAGACTTCACAGCTAGCAAATTTAATTGTATGACATGCAACATTATTTTTAACAACAATTGTGATCTAAGTAAAATGATTTAAATTAATTTTATTTCAAAATTAATAAAAATAAATGTAAATTTACCTAAAATAACCTTCCACTTTAGCTAGAGAACTAATTTTTTTTTCATTTGTATTTATGGACAAAATGATGCCAAATGCAGTATTCAGTATATAAAAATTCAATGTATGATATTTTTTTAGGATACCCTAATGTCATTCACTGGCCTAAATAGGTAGAACATGCAGAGAGTGTTCACACATCAGCTGAGACTTTTAAAACCTTTTATGATCTCCTATACTAACTTTTTTTTTTAAAAAATTTTATGTTTTAAAAAAAAATATTTAATTGTTTATTTCAGTAAAAATACTGATCATTTAAATCGTACCCTTATCACACTAGGATGATTACCACCCAAATTTTATGAGCTTCTTCTACACCTATTATTAAATTCAGAGTTTTGTATCCAAGTTCCTCTTCTCCTAAATATTTTTTATTTTGTTTCTTTCAAATTTATGCATTAGACATGATTTTCCCTTATGAGCCCGAATTCATCATTCCTATTGCATATGCAAAACTTATATTTTATAAAATCTCTGCATCCTAACTTTTTAAATATATCTTTTACAAATATTTGTGGTCTGCGAAGCAACCTTCCATCAGTTGAATTTTACCTCTTACAAAATTCAGCAGACTTGCTTGCTTATAGTGAGACTTATTTAAATTACGCTATTCCTTCTTCAAATCTCAGTGTTGATGGGTACTATCCTTTGATTTACAAAGACTGGGTGTATACATACGCATCAATTTACCTATTTGTTGTGAAATCAAGTTTGAATCCTTCAACCACTCTTTTATGCGATTCCGTTTAGCACCTTTTTGCTCTACCATCTTTCTTTTTGTTCATTAATATTCTCCATCTTCTCAAGACTCTTTTAGATGTAATTTCTGATCAAATTGACCATGTCCTTTTTTTATCTCTCTGCCAATATTTTTGTTATTGGTGATTTTAATGTTCATTACACTGAATGGCTTGGCTTTAATGATATTGACCCTGCTGGCACTAAAGCCCATAACTTCAACATTTCTCAATCTCTTACTCAGATAGTTAAATTTCTGACTCACCTTCCTGATAATCCTAATCATTTTTTTTTTTTTTTTGTTAATTCACCTCCTTAGGGCCGAGAAGGCCACTACAGTCGAGGAGGCTACTTATTTATGGTTATAACCCTCTCTCAACTCTATAACTCCAAAAAACGAACCTTGATGTACAAGGCTGCTGCACGGAGAAACGAGTTGAGCGCAGTACTACCAGGGACGCAGTGTGGATCAAACTCAGAACCTCTCGCTTATAAAGCAAGCGCTCAACCATTACACCACTACTGCATTTCACTCTTGCTCTCCTTGATTTACATCATGTCTCAAGCTATGGAGGTTGTGTTCAGTCTCCTTTTTTTCCTTTAAGTGGGTTCTGACCATGCAATTTTCTTTATAAATCTTTCATTTCACTATTATCAACCTACTAGAGGCTATTCTAGACCGTTTTTGACGTCAACTGTATTTGGGCGCGATTTGGGCGCCGTCCAAATTAAAAATTGAGGCCAATTGATGTCACTTGTATTCTGTATTTTTTACGACAAATTTTTGTTTTTTTGCGAAAAAATGCCGATATTCGGCAATATTTGTGCTAAATATCTTCAGGACAAGGGGTACTGCTGCCCAAATTTTTTTCCTAGAATAGCCCCAGCCTGCTTTTTACTATCCTAAAGCTGACTGGGATTCTATTCGTTATTTTCTTTGTGGCGATCCTTGGACTGATGTCTTTTCTCTCTCAGCTGATAAATCCACCTCCTATGTAACCTCATGGATTCAGGCAGAAATGGAAGCTTTTATTACTTTCCTGTTAATTCTAAGTCAAGCCTCAATCTACATAATGGTTTTCACCTTCTTGTGGTGCTGCTATATCTAATCGTAATCATTTTTTTTATTTTTCAAAAGAAAAATGAAAAAAATGAGAACAAACAGCTATTTATTATTGCAAGAAATCCACAAAAAAAGGGCTATCTGATGCTAAGCTCTATTATTATCAGTTCACTAAGTTCCAAATCTTATGTCAGAAGTTATTCTCTAGAGACTTTTGGAAAACATTCAACAGTGTTATTAACAAGAATAGGTCATAACATTCCTTCTCTTATTCATGAGACTGATCAAGAGAGGTGATACCCTTTCGAGGATAAGACAGAACTAATTAGAAAGAGCTTTTATTCTAATTGACTCTTGAATCTTTTCGCCATTCTCTTCCTTCTGTATGTAATGTAAGCGGTAAGCCATTTCAGTCAAGGCAGTTTTTATCAATTTTAAATATTTTTAATATTTAAAAAAAGTCTAAAGATATTGTTTAAACAGTAAGATAAAAAAAGGAAATTAACTTTATAAAAACCACTTATGAAGTTTGATGAATGATGAGAAGAATGATGAGAAGAATGATGATTACGTAAAAAAGTTTGAATGATAATTAATCAAATCAAATATTTGAGCACTATATAAAAATGTGTGCAAGTGCAAGAATATTTGTTTAGACAATTTCTTTTAACAAACAATAACAAAAATATTTACCGCATTTAGAAATTAAAAAAAAACATTAGCTAAAAATTTTTGCATGTTAAATTTTATTTTATATCAATGCCACTTTTGATATTTTTTTTGTTTGTTTTTGTTTTGTTATAATGATTGGTTTTATCAAAAAAATGAAAAAATATTAATTATCACAAACTATAAATGACATCTTATAGAGTTTTTTTTTATATAAATAAACAAAAAACTTCTATGGATATAGCTCTATTATTAATTTTTCAAAATTATATTTTGAGGGAGTTTAAATCAAGAAATTATCGTTATCAAGAATTAAATATATTTAATAACGTATCAAGTATAAATATACTTAATAACAAGGGTTATTAAGCATATTTATACTTGATACGTACAACAAGATAATTCAATACAATATCTCTCTCGATATATTGTATTAAATTATCTCCCTTGATATTTTGTATTGAAAAATTAATAACAGAGTTATATCTATAGAAGTTTTATATTTCATTTATTTTTACAATTATTTATGTTTGAAGCAATACAACTGTTGCAATGTCTTCGTTTATATTTATTAGAAAAATAATAGTTTAGAAAAATAAAATTTTATAATAGTTACATCAGCTTTATATAATTAACAGATTGTACAATATCAAAAAAGTGAGAATAGAAATTTATTTAAATTCCTTGTAAACATGTTATAGCACTGCATCAAAAGCTAAGGATATTGTTCTTAACATCTAAAGTTTAACGTATCAAAAGCTAGAGATATTGTTTTTAACATATTTAAAGTTTGGCATGCTGGTCTTTTCCATAAGCTTGCTTATGGTTTATCTGGGAAAATTTTTGAGATTATTAAATTCATAACCCTTCTTTATGTCTTTTTAAATTATTGTTCACTACTGACCTTTCATGGAAACCATATATACAATAGATTGCTAAATTACCATCTGCTAAGGTTGCTTCTCTTTATCGTGCTCACCATTTTCTTACTCCTGATTCCATTCTCTACCTCTACAAAATCTCTTATTCATCTTTGTATGGAATGCTGTTTTCATATTTGGGCTGGTACTTTTAATGATTCCTTTCTCTTCTAGACAAGGTCCAAAAACACATTGTAAATGTAATTGGACTCATTCTAGCCAAGCTTGAGCATTGTCATTAAGTTGCATCTTTCTCTTTTATACAAATACTATCATGGTTGCTGCTCATAGGAGCTATTATCTCTAGTTCCATCAATTAAAACTCATTCTTGCTTGACTCATCATTCAGTAAAGTCTTATTCTTTTACTGTATTTGTCCTTGCATGCTCTAAAAACTTTTATTTATCTAGTTTTTTTACCTGCACTTCAACCCTTTGGAGCTTTTTCGCATCTTCATATTTTCCTGACTCATACAACCTACAACTTTTCAAGTCTTCTTTCAACCGTTTCCTTGCTCTATAACACTATTTATTTTTTTCTCCTAGTAACTCCTATCTTAACAGTGGTTGCTTGCAACCTTGTAAAAAAGTATTCTATTACTATTTTTTTATTATACGCTTCACTATAGTGTCTTTAATTTGTTCTGAACATCTGTTCAATATATCTTTTCAAATTTTTTATCCTTCATCTCTTCCTAACTTCTTCCTTACTTCAATTGGGTTTGACAGCTCTGCTTAAAATCTCTTTATCTTATCATTTTTGTAATTTTTAACTCCAACAATAATGCAGATTATAAAATAACGCAATGTTTGATTGCTAATGTATGTGCCAGTTAAGCACGTAGTTTTAGCATTTTGTTCAAAATTGTGAAGCCCTTTACTTGTGACTTGTGTAGAACTTTATATTCAGGTCTTTGTATACAGGAAACTGTTTATATAAGACCTTTTATACAGGAAACCAAAATTTTTAAAACTAAAATATCTCTTATATAAAAAACATTTTTGGCATGGATCCTGATGGTTACTTGAATATTGTGAAGGTTGACTTAGGAATTTGAAAATCAAATTCTAAGTATAAAAAAAGTTTCAATTGGATTGATATTAAATTTTAACTATATTTAATATTAATGGAAAATTTTAATTGCTTCCAATAATAATATGTTTTAGAAATCAATTTTTTATTTATTTAATTATTTATTTACTAAAACCTTTTTGACTTAGTGTGAAAGCTGTCTATAAATTTATTTTTCATTTATTTCTATATTTCTCTTTTTATTAGTTTATCAAGACTTTTTTTCTAAATTAATTTGTAAAAATTAGCATTTTTGATAATAATAATAATTTGTTACTTTTTACAGTACCTGCTATAACAACAAGCAAGGGGCTTCAATTTGTGGATAGTAAAGGTATACATTTTGTTTTTTGAAATAATAAAGATATTTGATTTAAAACTAAATTTTAAAATAAATGCTCTATTTTCATTTCTGTAGATAAATTTTATTTTTATAGTAATAATTCAAGTTCTTGGTCGATCAGTTGGATTAGATTGTGATTGTGCTGATATTACAAAGTGTGATACAATTGCAGCTGGTGTTAGTAAGTTTTTACCACTTGTTTAGAAATACTGATTTAAGTGATAGTATGCTTAGTAATTTTACCTTTAATGTACTCCTAGCCTACTCCACTTTATGTGTGTAATGTTTATGTAAATAAAGTACTATCCATTTCTAGGGTGTTAATTTGTCTTCACAGTATACTATTGTTTAATATACTTTACTCATTTGCAGCAACTTTTTAATTATTTTTCTTGTTTATTTTTTGTAATAACTAACAAAAACATTTTCTGGTCTTCATTTGTTTATCACTATCTTTTACATTTTTATATAAATGTAAATAAATTTTAAAAAGATGTCATTCAATTGAATTTATACATAAATATATATTCAGGTTTTTAGCCAGCCGAATGGCACCGCATATACTCCGGAATTCCATCTGGATTTAAAATTGATCCTATTTATTTTTTATTTTTTGAATAGAACAATGAAGCGAGAAGCTAAATAAGTGCAAATTTCTTAAGTGCAAATTCACATAAGTGTGAACTGGCATAAGAATTTCTTTATTTTTTTAAATTTTCTAGTTTAAGTTAAGTTTAGTGTTTCTTTTTTCCGCGCATTTTTTAAAATCATTTCTAAAACATCTAAACAGTCGTGGTCAAGTTGTCAAAAAAAAAAAGTACTTTTTTCTCTAGTAAAAGTACTGTTACTCTAGTGAAATTTCACTCAAGTAAATGTTATCGTTTGAAAGATTTACTCAAGTAAAAGTAAAAAGTACTAAGTAAAAGTTGCTGCGTTTAACTTTTTTAACAGCTTTTAAAATTTTCTTTTAAAACTGCAATAAGTAAGATTAAAATTTGAAAGCAGCAATGCCCGTGTTTGATGTCTTAATAAGAGGGTAATTCATAAATAATTTCATGCAATTTTTGACTTTAAATATCATAATATTTTAAATTTTCTTAGCTGCTTTTAGTTAATTAATTTTAAAGGTAATAAAGTTTGTGTAGTGCTTAGGTTGATTAATTGTTATACAGTTGATCCTGGATATCTCGAACTCTTAGGGGACCAAGAAAGAAGTTTGAGACATTGAGAGTTTGAGATATCAAGTGGATTTTGGCCCAAACAAGTGCGCAAGGGACCGGAAATAAAGTTTGAGATACACAAAAGTTTGAGATATCGAGTAGTCAAGATATCAAGAGTCAACTATGTTTATAAGGCCCGACTGTTAGTTTGACTTTGAATGAGGGCTCAAATCCTATTAATGGATAATTTTTTTTTTTACGTTTTATTTTTTTGTAGACATTAGAAAATATCAAAGGTTCAAGTTTTTAAATAATTAAGTTTCGAAGTAATAAAGCCTGGATTAAATAACTTTAAAGCTTTGATCTTTTTTAAATTCTATGAAGTGAAACACTTTTAAGTTAAATTAAAGACATTAATTTTATGCTTTTGTTTTTTATAGTTTATCTTATATTTATTTTTATCATTCGTTAAGATGTTTATTTTTTTTTAGTTTAGATTTTTTTTTGGTTTTCATTTCTCTTTTTAGTTTAAGGTTTGTTTATTTTTAATTTTAGTTTAAGTTTACATTATATAAGTATAACTTTAGTTTATATATATATATATATATATATATATATATATATATATATATATATATATATATATATATATATATATATATATGTATATATATATATATATATATATATATGTATATATATATATATATATATATATATATATATATATATATATATATATATATATATATATATATATATATATATATATATATATATATATATATATATATATATATGTATTTCTCTAAAAATTTAGATTTTCTCTAAAAAGTTTTTTCTGTAACTCCTCAGTAATTTTTTTATTACTCTAAAATAATCCTTAACTAAAATGTAATTTCTGAATCTAAAAATTATGCAGTTTTTTTTTTTGAATGACTTTAAATTAAACTGAGTTCAAATTTATTTTTTTGCTGTCTTGTATTACTTTATGAATGTATCTGTCTTGTATCAGTTTATCAAACAAAGATATTTGCAAAAATTGTTTGCTGATACAAAATCTGCTGCCAACTTGATCTTGCATTGACTAAATTTGACTCTTAGACCTGTGGTTTGCTTAACAATAGCTCCTATTCAATCAACCATTCTTTTTCCATGATTCGCTGAGAAGAAATGCTAGAAGGATTTTTTCTCGAAATGTTTTTCAAACACAACCTTTGGAGCTATAATGGTTTATTTTTTAAATTGAGATGTGGCGTAGTAGCTGAGCATGTGAACCTCTTTGACTTCATTAAATAACATATCGAGATATTGTTTATTTTTCTGTCAGATAATGGAATCCAAGTAAAATATTTTTTGCTGGTTGATGTTTTGCAAAACTTCATCTTTGTTACAAAAATTTACAACTTCTAAAATGTCTTTTTCAGGATGTTCATATAACTTTGAACATGCTGGAGGTAGACTCCAGGATAGATAGGGGGATTTTCTTTACAAGCAGAATTATTTGAAAGTATAGAAAGAGTTTCAGCTTTTTTTTTTGCTTTGCATTTGGTAGACTTTATAAACATTTAGCCAAGAGGAAAAACATTGAATAATGCTTTATTCAATGTTTTTCCTCTTGGTTAAATGTTTTTAAACAATGAGCTTGTCATTGAGATTGATATAGAAATTTTCTTTTTAGAGTGCGACTTTTTACAGTTTTGCTTTAGCAGAACAAGATGCTTTTTTATTGGTCCAATTTTTATTAGGATTGGTTTCCAATTTTTTCAATATCTCTTAGAACTTTCCATGGATATTTTTTTCTTTTTAGCAAGACTTCGAGAAACTTAATTAGTTTGATATTCTGTGTTATGTTTTTTTTTCTAATTTTTGGATATTTTTTTTAATTTTTAAGAAAATGCAAACAATAATCCAATATTTTATAAATATTTACTGATAGCACTTCACAATATTAAAATGCAAAACTTAATTGATTGAAAACCACAACAAAGTCCACAACAAAGATGCAACAGCTTTTAAACTATGTTAGTTAATTTCATTTAGAGGTTGCTATCTTGAAAAAATTTTGTTTTTTAATACTTGTTTCAACTTTAAATTTAAATAACTTAAAAAATAATTTCATGTTATGTATATATTAACCATTATCAGAATAACATTTGACAAAATTTTTAGAAAAATTGGTTATTTTCTAGGGGTTTATATGCGGTATTTTATGATACAGAAGCATAAAATAAAAATGACTAAAAATGTAATTAAAATTAAATCAAGTTATTAATTTTACTTTTTTTTTAGTTTATTGCTATTAACTTAACTTATAAAATTTTGATTTTAAAATAGATAGATGATAAAATAGATTAGATTTAAAATAGATTTGCTTTCTATATTGTTCAGCAACTTGCAAAAGAAATTGCTTTTTTGAGAAAACTCTTAATTTTGTGCACACTCACGGAAATCACCAATAATCACCATGGAAATCACCAATAATCACCATGGAAATCACCAATAATCTTTTTTCTTTTGGTGATTTTTCTTTTGGTGCACTTGTTTATCATCTCCAATTGTATAAAAAAAATTTTTCCAGTTTGATAATCTTTGATTCATCTAGAGCTATTCTTGATAATGATCCAATTTAAAAAAATAATAAAGGTTTAATTCAATGTTGAAAATGTTGGTTTCACTATTAAATTTTTTTTATTCTCTTGGGATAAAAAAAATTTTTTGCCTCTATTGTTCTGGTGAAGTCTGACAACTTTTCAATAAATAAAGATAAAATAACAAGCTCTTTTATTAAATACCAAAGATGTCAGTTAGTTGTCCCCCAAGATGTAGTTAGTTGTCCCCCACGATGTAATTAGTTGTCCCCCAAGATGTCAGTTAGTTGTCCCCCAAGGTAACTCTATTAACTTATAGTTTTCATGAAAATGTTTTCTTGTTGAGGCATGGGTAAGCCCATTTAAGAATTAAATTTGATTAAATATTTTGGATTTGTTGTCAAAAGGCTACTCAAAAAATTAAAGTTTGAGTAATCAATATTGATTCTTGAAAATTCAAATTTGGAATCGTTTTAAAAGAGACAATCATTTAAAAAGAAACATTCTGGATATTTGCTATTTCTTCATAATGCCGCAAAAGCATGTTTAATGTGTAGCTTGTTATGACGATGGCAACATGCTAGCGATTGGAGAGGTCTTTTAAACTCAATTTCGATTAAATTTGCAGCTTGTTTTTTAGTATCTGTGTTGCTGGTTTTTGTATTGAATCATATACAATGTTTTCCAAAATGTCTCATTTTTGTGCAAGTTTCATGGCTCTATTACATTGAATTTTACCAGTTGAGTTCTTAATTAAAAGTGAACCAATAAGTCTTCGCCTGCAAGTTAAAAATTAAATTATTTTTTTTTGAAATCAACAATGATATATACTTATTTTATACGAAAAAAGAGTACATAAAGTACTTGTTATGAGATCTGTTAAAAAAAACTGCTATATGTTTTACATTATGAGCTGTTGCTAAATGAATATGCTTAGAATGGGTTTGCTTATATCCAAATCAGTTTTATTTGATAAAATTGTTTTCTTGCCTGCATTTTGTCTTTGACAATGTACAGTTAATAGTGACAGAGACATTAAGTTGACCTTGTTATCAAACTGATAAACAACTAAAAATCTGTCTGCCACAGATCCTGTAACTTCTGAAAGCTGATACTTTGAATGAATTGGTTAAAGGTTGTTTTCTTTTCTTTAAAGATAAATGAGTAAATTCCATATCACTTTGATCTTCTTTATTAGCACTATTAAGCAATTTATTGATCTTAAAGTCACTTAGTTTTTGATCTCTGGTTGACCCTTTTCTAAAATCTTTGCTCTATCTTGCTTCTTGCATTCTAAAATTTTGAAATACCTAGGTAAACACTATTTGTAATATTTTCTGCTATTCTTTAGATCTTCATATATATTTTGGTTTTTCTGATATCAGCAGCTGTTCAAATAAAATGCTCTGAAATGTCACAGTTGTTCAAGT